ACTGATTGGTCCAAACCACCGTGGTTCGACCGCAAGCCAGTAGCTTTGAACCTGGCAGGATAGATTCTCGTTTGCAAGGAATCCAGCTGCCTCGCAGGTGCTGACTGTCGCTGTCGCCAGGTAAAATGATGGACATCCTCTGCAGCATTTCTGTCCACTGTGACTAAGCTTAATTCTGTAACAGCTGAAATTAGAGCTGAACAGTTATTTGAAATATGGAAATTCAAATAATGCAATATCCAAGTCGCAGGAGCTGCAGTTTTTTTGATTGAAGGTAAAATGTGTCACAACAGACCATAAATGAAGCGTTGTGGTGCTACAGAGACGCCTCGGCCTCCAGATCATTATCTCCAGACATAAGGGAACATGCTTGCATCACAAATCACATCATCATTTTTATATTTTTTTCACTGAACATGAAATGACATTAAATTTTTGGCTCCTGTCTATTTAATGTGCTCGCTTCAAGCTGGTCAGATAAAGAGGACTGTGTGTTTCTATAGTTCAGTCAGACTAACAGAGTAGCGATTCATCTTCCTTTACATCAGTTTCAGCAGAATCTGCCAGTTACAGTTATATTTTAAGCTTCTCAACTTAACATGCGTTGAAACTTTTTAGTATTTGTAGCAAGCTGCCCATGAAAAATAAGGCCTGCAAAGTTGGCAGGCTACACCTACACCTGTTAATTCAATGTGTCAGACAGATTTTATGAAAATTGAATTTCCTCTGCTGCCAGTCTCATTTTCAGGCGGTAGCTACAGGTTGTGAACAAGCCGCAGGCTGCCCCGCCTACAACTGCCTCATCATTTGTGAATTTGAAATGTTATCTTGCTGCTCTTGACGGATGGAGCTCACGCAGTCGAGCGCTGCTGCTGCATGTTCGGCTGTTCACAGTTCAGCGCACGGGTGATTCACTGCACACTTAAACTTCCTGTCTGTCATAGAGTTTGTTGGCTTTATGTACAGCACAGCATTTGTCATAAGTTGGGTTCCTGTTGAGGCTGAACTCAACAGATTGTCATTAATGAAGGAGGAATTATGCATGCACGCATATGTGCAGTGAGAGCAGAGACGTCGCTAGAAGGTGGAATCAAACTTGCAACATTGAAAGCACATGCCATCACACCCGAGCAGTAACATCCCCCAAGCAGGTTATTTTATCGTTCAGATAGAGATGTGACTCGGCTCCGCTCTTCTCTTTCGGAGCTGTCAATTACTGTGTATATTTGCTGGAAAACGTGGGTACAGCTTTGTATTTAAGACTGAAGGCTGAAGTCCTGGTGCTGAGTTTATTACCCCGGGATACTGTGAGTCGTCTGAAGGATTTTTGCAATGCAAAAGCGCCAGAGCATGAGGTGTATTTTGATCAGTTTTGGGTCAAGATACTCGAGTAGGCTGATGCATGGAGGCTGCATTTATTCACATAGGATTGGTTTCTCATCTGCCCTCTTGTCTTAATATTTTTAAGCTCAAGTAAAATTGCAAGCACTCGATGACCCCATGCACCCCTGTGCAAAGAGGAGGAGGTGGGGGTGGGATGGCCATAAAAATGCATGCATTTTCCCCTAACTCTCTCTGTGTGCGTCCAGTGCGGGCTTACTGTGATAGGTTCACATCTACAGTGAGTGAGTGTCTGTCCTCGGGCAGAATAAGACAGAACACGTGCCTTGAAAGCCGCGTGGTGTGAGGCCATTCCTCTGCTCCACTGCTTCACTACCCCCCTGCAGCCTGCACATCCTCTCGGCTTGCCAGGACTTCCTCCGTGCTATTTGCCCTCCCGCCCATCTCCCCACTGCTGCCCCTCGTCGTCTTCTCCTGTGTTCATTTCACAATCTCCAAACACCCTTGCAGTCCACACTCGATTGGATTCCAAATCAATTTTGCCTCCATGAATACCTCTTAGTTCTGCTTTCCCTTTTCACAATTACTTTACAATTTTCAGCCCCATTCTGTTTCCTCTCGCGGCGCACTGGTAGCTGATAGCTGGAGCTCTGGTTAGGATCCCTTAGGAGAACAAAAACAAGGTAGTTGACCTCGCTGACCAAGAGCTCAACAGCTCCTTGAAACTTATGATGAGCGCTTTGACTGTGTCATCAGCACCTGTTGTTGCATTGCCCCCTGTGCCAGAGTGTCCTTGTTTCCCTCGCTGTAAACCCTCCCGACATTCATCATCGCCATCACCATCATCAGTCGGACTTGTGTAACTATCCTTTCTAGAGCGATGAGGTTATCTGTATTCAGATTAACACAGAAGGTCTGAGTGCGTTTCGGGCTAGGTCAAGACATAAGGGTTAATGCCAGCAGATGTTTCTCTGGCGCCTCGTTCTGAGAGCATGTTGCGCCCACACATAAACTCAAAAAACGCCGCCATGGGTAGTGATTGACCCCTTAAACAGCCAAAAGAAAAAAAAGGAAAACGTGTTTACTATCTCTCTGCCTTGAGCTGAAGTTACGAGTTCAGCTGTGTTGGCAGCACGCAGCAGCATCATTACATCTGCTAATCATCTGCTCATCTTTAATAAGAAACTAATAAGCAATCTCTCAACTTCACCACAGTGATATGTGTCTACGCATCATCAAAATATATCGACACCAACCCCAAGGTTCATCTCGTCCTTCCTGCAATAAGCAGGTTGGGAGGAAACTTAACTTACATTTAGAGGGTTCCTTAACATGAAGAAGTGTGGCATGTCACATTTAAAGCAAACCAGGAAACAGAGGCATTATGACCTTTGAGCTGCTGGAAAGCTTTTATTCTGACAGCAGCTTAACAGCAAATAAAACAAAACAAAAAATAAAAAGCAGCAAAGCTGAATGGACTTGACTTTAATTTTAATGTAACTTTAATTAATTGGTTAGTGAAATGAGTATATAAGAAGGTAAGCATTGAGTATGACATGACTCTGTTTTTGTACTGATGGAGTAAGTGGAGTGGAAATGTACATTACACGGAATGCATCAAGAAAACAGGTAAACACAGAGGAGGTGTTGAGTTTGTATTAACAAGAAATTAAAACAATAGCAGATCCAAAAAAAAACAAAAAAAAAACAGGGATTCAGGCTTTTTACTGAAATATGATGAAATATCCTTTAGAGCTTCGGCATCCACAGTGATGTACCTGAGGGTCTTCCTCTCTATTCAGTTTTATTTATAAGATGCCAAATCATGGCAGAAGTTATCTCAGGGCACATTTCACATAAAGCAAGGTGTACACAGGACTTTTTACAGTATTACTTACAGACAGCCGACATTCCCCCGTGAAAAGCACTTGGTGACAGTGGCAAAAAAAAGTTGCTTAGAACAGGAAGAAACCTCGAGCAGAACCGGGCTCTGGGCGGGTGGTCGTCTGCACACACCGGTTAGGCTGGTAAAACCTCATGATTTAATCATGCAGTATGTCAGTCCCCACACCAAAGGCTTCGTGGGAGACTATGTAGAAAAGCGTATAATTGAATAGTTGTGAAGAAACGGCAGCTCAAAAATTGGTTTCGAACCCGAGTTTTTTGGCTTGCACATGTGAAGAAGCGTTGTTGTTCCGGCCGTTTTCTCCGACTGTTTGAATGAGTGTGACAGTCACATTTAGAGCAGACTTTGTGCACTGCCAGTGCTTAGAGTCCTGTCCCTCTGCATTTTCTTCTCATGTGTCCATCTGTGTTAGCATCCCGTTATCCAGGAGAACAGTACGTTCGCAGCCCTTTGCGTCGGGGTATCAGGAGCCTTGGCCTGTGAAGCTGCAGCAGTTTGAAATGTATTCAGACATTTGAGTGGAACTGTAGAGCTTCACTCACTAGATGTGGTCCTGGACTGCTGCAGAAAGTAACTCTGGCAGGGCAATAAATAATTATATGACAATGCAGCCAATATACATATTCTCTAAATATTCTCATAAAATATTCATACATAGGATGGAAGTATGGCACAGAATCCTGACTCACTGTGGTGCAGCCTTAAAGTACATATACAGTACACTGCACTATAAGCATGCACCTTTTTCATATATATATATATATATATATACTCTTTTCAATATCTAAACATAAGGTCCCATATAGTATAAAGGTCTCTGTCCATGTGCTGTTTGATTATAGGTCTAGGTTCTATATTAATACTGTGAAAGTATCAAAGCCTCAGTCCTCAGAGAAATGCACACAGCCTGTATTCAGACACTGAGCTGTCAGGACTTCTGTAACTTTGTGATGTCACAACAAAGCAGTCACCGCTTTCAGCCACGCCCCAGGCCCCCCCCCACCTGGACCCACCATCCAGCCTTGCAAGGATTTGGTTTCTCTAAGTGTTTACCAGAAATCTGCTGTATTTTTTATTGAATCACTCAGAAAACAGTCAGCCGACCTGTTGTTGCTCGAGCTCCAGGGAGAAGCCTGAGAGAGGAGATGTAAAACTACATTAAAAAAAAAAAACTACAAGGAAACCAATCTGGCTGCTCGCTCATGTAGTAGCGTTATTAATTCAGCTATAGCAAGGACAATAAAATAATGAAACATAGTCACAAAGCAGATGGAGAGAAACAAGGCTGCGTGGCAAGTGAGGAAAAATGAAGAGTCGGAGCATGAAGCAGCCGAAAATCAAAAGGGAGACGCCACGGAGGGGAATAACAGGCGAACTCTAGGTGGTCGGAGTAAAAACAGAAAGCTACGAGCCATGCAAGATGAGCAGAGGAAGTTTAAAGAAGCACAGATAATTGTTTATTTGTCCTCCACAGATCCAGCCTCTTGTGTTTAATATGCAACCAGTGTTTCTGGTTTCAGGCGAAATGGCTCGGAGCACAGTTTCCAAATCACACACACAATGGTGTTTGCAATAAAAGTGGCTCTCCTATGGACTGAGTTCTGCCAGTGTGGCTCACATTTAAAAAATTAAAAAATATTGCAGACCGGTGATGGCATCAGTAATGATCATAAAGAACATGTGAACTGTTTTAGCCTGCAGGCACTAACCCCAGGTTTTATTTTTTGTGTCTGTGTTTCTTATGAACAACCAGCGGTGAAGAGGCTCATGAAAGAAGCTGCTGAACTGAGGGACCCCACAGAACACTACCACGCCCAACCACTGGAAGTAAGTCCACCACACAACACAACAGTGCTGCAGCACCTTTTAGCAGTCGAGGATCTTAACGACAATAACGCTGCGTAGATAAATGGTGAATTCAAGAAATGGACATTTTTATTTTGGCGTAATTCTTTAGTTTTGTCCTTCATTTCTATCAGTTATAATAAAAAAAACAAAAAACGCTGCGCTTACCAAAATAATGAGATCTGGGAACGAGGTGACACAAAATAAAAGTCAGCTGGGTCTAGAAACACAAGCAGTCAGAAGATCAGTTTGGTCATAAACAAGCCCCCAAGTTAGTCAAACTTATTTGGAAGAGAAAACTAACTGGAACGGTGCCAAACTGCCCACAGTAAACATCATCACAGTTTTATTTTCATGTGCTGTACTCTACAGGGATTCAGTTTCACCTCCAGATAAACTGGTTTAAATGATCTGGTGACAGTACTTTAGCTCCGGTGCTGGTTGGCCAATAGCCAAACTTTTTGCTCCTTTACAACCTGTGTAATCAGCTTAATGTTCGTGTCTCTCTCTTAGTACTAAACTGTGTCTGTGCTTGTATATTTGTGTGCATCTATACTGTATGTATACACACTGGCCACTTTATTAGGTAGAAAACTGCAGGCACTCACAAATAAGTATAAATCACAATTCACAAATCATATTAAAAGTGATTTATTCTTATTTGTGAGACTCTTGGGTTGGCCAAAATTTAACTTTTTAAAAATTTGAGTAACAAAATCAATAGACAATAGCTGTTTGTTGTGTGCACTATCTGAATATTTTTACATTCAAACACCCTCTGCAGATCCTGTGGTTATAATAACTGCTCAGCATTAGCACGACAAACAGCCACTGTTCACAGTTAAAGTGTTGTCACTTCAGACTAGAGATGAGAAGCCACAGAGCTCTCATGTCTGTAGCATGTGCTCAGTGTGACATTCCCATCTTCTCCGCAGGATAACCTCTTTGAATGGCACTTCTCCGTACGCGGGCCCCCAGATTCGGATTTTGATGGCGGGGTTTACCACGGCAGGATCGTACTCCCCCCGGAGTACCCCATGAAGCCTCCTAGCATCATCCTCCTCACAGTAAGAAGCGGACAAAGGCCACATGTCACCCGCACGCCATTATTCTCCCGCTGAAGCGGAACAGGGAGACATGAGATCAGATGATCAAAGAGTGGAAAATGGACAGCGTGTCATTTAACCTTCAGACATTTCTGGTTGCATCACACGCAGAGACAGTTGTCAGAGTAAAGCTCGGGTTGTCACCACACTGTCACAGGAAACTGCACTGGTTTTGTGAGAATATGAGATTGTCTTATTATATTCAGACGACTACGTGACACCTGCACTAATGGCAGCCTGATAAAAGCCAGAGTTCTCTTGAATTGTTTTGATAGACACTTTTTCATTTTGTCCATCTACTTTTTCTCTCTTTTTTTTTATTCTATGTTTCTTTTTCTGTTTGCATTCGTTATTTGAAAACTTTTACTTTAGCAGAATAGCAGCCTGCATTTCCTTTTTCTTTACTTTCAAACTCCTTCAAACTTCCACTTCAGTCTGCTTGTCATAACTTTTGAGAATGTATGTTTTATTCATTTCTCTCCAACCACATACTCATCTCCACCCTCTCTTCATTGACTTTCCTTTCTAGCCCAATGGGAGATTCGAAGTTGGGAAGAAGATTTGTCTGAGCATCTCTGGCCACCATCCGGAGACGTGGCAGCCCTCTTGGAGCAGTAAGTTTCCTCAGTGATAATCCTCAAGTTCTCCACAGTCCCTGAGTCGCTCGAGTTGGTTCTTCATACAATTACAGGTCTGTGTTTCAGTGGAGTCTGGAGCGCCCTATTCATAGAGCTGGAAATTCAAAGAAATTCCTAGTAAAAATTTGGAAAAACTATTGATGTTCTCTGAGGATTTACTCTTCTCTGCAGCAGCGTATGTGTCAGCACATGCACAGTTATGAGCAACGTTGTGAGTTCAACATCAAACTTCATTCCTTTACTCACCAACAGCTGTCTCCAGCGGTGTGACGCAACGCCATTGTTAATTCTTGTTTCTATCGCTTCTTTTCCTCTACTGAAGTTAGCATGCTAACCAGCTCCTGCACTTCTTCTCGGCACTTCCCGATAGCGACTCACTGTAGCCTCCAATCTGTTTGTCAATTCCTTTAATAGTTCGCGATCAATTTTCTGGGAAAAATAAGAACTCCTACACATGTTTATCCACACAGTCGCATCTGACACCGAGGTGCTCCCAGTACTATCCTCCCTCCAACTGTCTAAGAATCAATACCTATACAGAACGGTATGAGTTATAAACAAACAATATTTATTGAATAGAATATTTTGTATACAATCTTAAGCTGACTGAATATTAACATTAACATAAATAAGACATTGTAGAAAATATAAAATGTAGAAAATACTAAAATATAACTGAGCTTTGGCTCTTCTGCCTGGTAATTAGTACAGTCCACACAATATTATACAATTAGCCTGACTACACAATGTAAACATAAACCTGGAGGCTATGGCTGCAGCTGTAATTAATTAATATTATCAGCTGAATCAGGCCCATTCAAACAGACTCCCCCAGATTTCATTTTATGCATTTTTAAATATAAAATACTATTTATTTTTACGGCTCGGCTGAATACTTGATGTTTATTATTTACTGAGCGATGTGAATCCATATTGCCCAGCATGTCCAGCTAATCAACATTTTAAATTCATTATTTAATCAGTAGTCAGTGTCAATCCAATCTTGCATTAGTCCAGAGTTGCAAGTAAACATTGACTGAGAGACCAGATAATCATTGGCTTGGAATTTCATTTCGTGCATATGAACGCGTCTTCGCGGATAAAAGGAACTGATAAGCTCAGGAGTATTCTCATGGTTCAGACAATTTGGAACCGGTTCTTGCCTGGAACCGGTTCTCAGTTCCCATCCTGAGGTAAAAGACATTGAGGGTTGGTGCTATTATTTGTACTTAAATCACTCTTTTCCCTTTACATTTAGTCATTAGGCTGATGCTTTTATCCAGAGCGACTAACAAGTGAGGCACATCACTGAAGCTTCAGTGCAGGAGGAAACCTTGCTGTAAATACTAAGTGCTACATCTATTTAATAAGTGCAAGTAGATGAGGTATAGAAGTGCACTGAAGGTACAGAGTAAGTGCTAGTCAGACATGTAAGGGTGTTAAAGGTGTTTGGAGAGGACGTGCTCTCTGAAGAGATGAGTCCTCAACAGATTATTGAAGATAGAGAGGGACGCTTCTGCTCTGATAGCACTCAGTAGCTTGTTCCTCCATCAGGGAACCACAGACCAGAACAGTCTGGACTGAGACTGTCTTGTGTGAAGGGCTGGCAATGCCATACGGCGTTCTCTGGAGGAACGCAGTGGCCAAGAAGGAGCATAAGGCTGAATGATTGAGTTCAAGTAGATGGGTTGCTGACCCAGAGGTCACTCTGAAGGCATGCATTAGAGAATTTGATTTGGACGGCCATGGGCAGCCGGTGGAGGTCAGTGAGCAAGACTCACATGGTAAATACAGCACGATGTACATCTCCACGGTATTCATTTCATCACTACAACAGAGTCGCGTCAGACTCACCACTCTGCTGCAGAGTTTCTCTTTTTTTAACACAAATGCATTGCCTGACCATCGGTGAAACTAAAGACTTCCTGCAAATATTTAAAGAAACAGAAGAAACTATTTCCTTTGAGGTGGTAGTCGGAAGTGTTGGGTTTCATTGATGGTAGAATATCAGCAATCAGAGAAGAAGTGTTTCTGAGTGAGCCACGACTGTGTTGTACTGACGTCGTTAGCGCTGTGGAAACAGACGATGATGAATTAATGAAGTGTCGAGTTTGAATTGACAGCAAACAGCATAAACAGCAAATTAAAACAGGAGCTTATCGGTAAACAGGTAGGCTTATATATATAATGATATATTTATAAAACTGGGGAAATTAGAAATGAAGGCTCTGTCTGCTGTTGGGGTAATTAAAGTCTATATGTGACAAATTGACAGGTATGAGTTGACGGTGCTGTAGTGTTTGGTTGGACTTGAATATTAAAGTTCATCTACAGTACAATGCAGCAGTTCCCAACCTTTTTCCATTTCATGGCCCACTTGAAAATCTCAAATAATGCAAATAATGTGTTCACAAATACTGTGTTCTGTTTATTTGAATAACGATGGAACATGCAGGGCTGAACTGATCTTCCTGTTGCTGACCAGCTTTCCATTTTGATTCTCCAGTTTTTACCGTGAATGTAAATCAGACTGAGATGGCAAACAGGTGTACAATGTGGTCTGGTGGCAAAGTGGTTCCTATCATCATTGGTTTATCACTGTGATAGGTCTTAATATGAGAAAGTTTTTAAACATTTTAAATGTTTTTAAAGATAATTTTATTTTAAAACCAGAGTGTACCCCACCCTCGCCCGCAGCTGGAATAAAAAGAAAAAAGGGTAAGCAGTATTGCTAATGAATACAGGAATTAATGAGCATTTAAAAACATTATTTATATGTATTTATATATATATTTTAATAATTACATTTTTTTCACCAATATTGTACCGTTTTTTGAATGATTTGTTGGCGCGCAATACTGCAATAGCACTACCTTTGCAGCCCACCAGTTGGCCACGGCCCACAGTTTGGGAACCACTAGTATATTGTGCAACATGGACCCACCAGAGATGGGCTGGGGCTAGCTGGTTAGCATGCTAACTTCAGTAGAAGAAAAGATGTGACGGAGAAAAGAGTTAACATTGATGTTGGCAAGTAAAGGAATAAAGTTTGATGCTGACCTCACAATGTTTCTTCTAGACTGGTACGTTAACAGCTGTTAATGCTAACGTTAGCTATGTACCAATAGCAAAACTTACAAACAGCTCCTTTAGTGTTAATGTTGGTCACGGCAAATTAGTTAATATTTTTTGAATACCAGAAGGTGAGGCTGTTTGTTGGCAGAAGGGCATGTTCAGAGTCAAAGTTGATAATTTGTTTCTACCAAGAACTCATTTCAGTTCTCTTCTGGCGATCCGTCCTTTTGCTGAGTTCTGCTTTCATGTTCCTTCTCAGCATGAGACTTTAATCAGTGGGAACTCAGTGGGACACGGTGCATCTTCCTCAAAGCACTTCTCCCTACTGGTTTCCTCTCATAACCAAAAAAAAAAAAAAAAAGGTTTAAATCAATAACACAATTAAGTGGAAGATGGAAGCTTGTTCTAAAGCTCTTTTTCTTCTTTTTTTTTAACCAACATGCTGCATGTCACATGGCTGCCCATGCCTTGGAGATTTGACTTTCCCTGCTGTGTTCTTAAAATGTTGTGTACAAGTTGTGTCTCATCCTGCTTGGAATGACCGCAGGAGGCCTGGCTCTATAATTACACTGGGTTCTGAGCGTTACAGGCAGGCCAGCTGTAGTGATGCCCTGGTTATGCTCATTACTGTTGGCTGCTGCTTTAGTTCGTATGATACGCCTACATATTTAATTAAGTGTGGCTAAGTAATTCAAACATTCCCTCTGATGTCACTTTGTAGAAGATTTATAAATTCCATATTTTACATATTCCTATTTATTTAGATACATATATGAATATATACTTATTTATGAATATGTTTATACATTTTTCCTCAAGCTGTTTTCTTGGTCTGTTTGTACTTAATAGTGTTTGTGTCTGAAAATAAGACCGCCAATTTCTTTTTACCACACATTTTTAATTTACATTCACACAGGCTGTCAAATAGAAGAAGTAGCAGGTACAGTGCATTCAGAAATTATTCAGACTCCCCTCATCAATCTGCACTTAATACCCCATAAAAACTGAATTTAAATTTTTTTTTTTGCAAATTTATTAAAAGGGAAAAACTGAAATCTACGTTGAAATAATTATTCAGACACTTGAAACTTTTTAGCTCAGGTTCCTCCCCTTTCTCCTGATCACCTGTGAGATGTTTCTACACCTCGATTGGAGTCTATAATAGAGATGTTTCCAGCAGAAATATTTTTCGTAGCCTTCCCCCTCGACACGGTCCTGACTCCGAGCTCTGCACCTCACGACTTGGGTGGCTCTGGCTCAGGAGGTTGAGCGAGATAGTTTAACTTAGTTTATAATAGAATAGTTTTTCTATTTTAATAAAGTTTCTGTTTTCACTTGGTCGTTATGTGGGTGTTGAGTGTAGACTGATGAGGGAAAATAAGAAAATGTGAAAAAACTGAAGAGGTGTGAATACTTTCCGTATGCACGCGGATCCATTCATCTTTTTCAGAACCTAAGAAAACTCAGAAGTTAGAAAGCTGGCGCTGAAAAGAGCTTTATCTCTACAGACACTCTGCTGCTAAACTAAAATGTGCTGCTGCTTCAACTAACTTTCTACTCTTACTTTGAGTTTTCTGTTTTTTTCTGCCTAATTCAAATTAAAGTGTAGTCCAATTTATGTAATGAGTTTCCATCTCAAAGCTCACTGCACCTTCATAATTTGACAAGGTGTGAAGAGCGTACACCACTAGCTCAGTTTGACGGGGGGGAAACGTCAATCTAATACATCACAAAAGCAGAGGGTTTTTCAGCAGCAGATACAGGTTGGTGTTGAAGAAGTTAAAGCATTTTATTATGAAGGGAATGTTCAAAGTTGCCATAAGATAAATTCATTGTAATGAAAATGAATTATTCAAAATTTCCCATAATTCATAATTCAGTTCATGTTCACTTTGGCATTGTAATGGTTTAAGAGTCTCTTCATGATCTAAGAAGGTCATCCCAAAATGTAAGTTACACACCATAATGGAGAGTTAATGAGGTGTAATTATTAAGAGGTGCTCATGGTGGTGGCTGCTGTAAATTAGTGTGACTAGACAGAATAATAATCCTGATTATAGGTTATACTATTACTAGGTTTTTGGAGTTTGTGCATGTAAACATCGGGATTCATGGATGAGGCGCATCAGTAGTATGTACGTCTACTGTCACACAGATGTAATGATAATTCCCTGAGTGCAGTTTTTGTGGACTTTTATCAAAGAGCGTTGGCTGCTGCCAGGTGTAAAGATTAAGGTGATCTCCCGATGCCTTTACTGTGCTGCCATGTACTGTAGCTTTGACATGACTTCTGAGTGGCTGAACTTATCTTGTTGCAAGCACAAACAGGAAGTAATTAACCTCAGAGCAAATAAAATAAATGCCGCATTTCCTTTTATGTAGTACTTAGTACTTACGCCAAGGTCTCTCACACTTTAGTGATGTCCCTCAATTGTAAGTCGCTTTGGAAAAAAAGCACCTGCCGAATGAGTAAATGTAAATGTGTTTATACGTATCAATAAAATTGATCTGCCAAATGACGGTGTGTGTTAAAGGGCATTAAAAGACCATACCAGTGATTTTGCATGTTCAGGCCAAATAACTACCGTCCACTTACACTTTTCTGTTAGTGTCAGTCATTTCCAGAAAAACACGCAGCCATATTTTAACTTTTCTCTCTGAATTCTGAATTCTCTTCAAAATAAAATGTTCGGGTTCTACACCCACCTTAAAATTCAGTGCTTTGCCTGACGAAACAAACTCACAATAATCATGATCAATCTTTTAAAACATAAAACATAGGCCAGACTGTGGCAAGAAAACACAAACCATGAAGCGTTTCGATCCTGGGTCTGAAAAACAATATGGCCGTTACACATTCATACAAGTTCATTCTGACTGTTTGCCAGCTAATGCCGACCGACGCAGGTCACGGCTCATTGCAGTCCAACATCCAGAATAGGATATCAACACACCGTGGGAGGTATCACACATTAAGTGTGTGCAGTGATCATTTTACTGTTAATGACTAGTCGTCAAAGGCTGCAACACAAGGCAAGGCTTTTTGTGGAGAAGCCACAAAAAGAAGAAGTCGTCAGGGAGTTTCAATACAGATCACAACATCTGAGAGGAAACATTTTTGTGTGTATGTATCAAACAGTTAAGGTTCCTATAGTTTCAGGATACAGCAGCTTCAAAATGCTACTGAAAGAAGCTTAATTCACTCTTATAGTAAGTTTAACAAACTTACGATGTACGACCAAATGCTGTATCTTCATTATAGTGGAGGAAATCTATAGATCATTAATAACAGGTACATATAGCTTTATAGTTTCTGATATAAATGCCTAGTTTATTTGCAGTAAATAGTCAGTCTGTTAATTACACCGGGGCTTCAGCATTATCCGTACCCTTGAACCCAGAGTAGGCAAAAGCAGCTCTCCTCCTTCCCAAGATGTTCTCCTGTGAGAAACTACTCCAGGAGGACGTGGTATGTCTCCAGTCTGCACTGGCTAACTCAAAGGAAGAAGTAGCCAGAGGTTTATTATGGTGAAAGTAAATTAACTTGGTCATTAGACAGGGTACCATCAGGCCCTTCGGCTACCGGCCACTTCCTCCATTTCATTTTTGAGCCTCTAAAAATTCAGGTGAGCGCTGAAATCATTCTGCTGTGAACACATAGTCCGCCGCCATCTGTTCGTTTCAGAATCCAGCGTTCTGGTTGATCCGGTGATGTAGCGGCACACATGCATCTTCTCTCTCTCTCTCTCTCTCTCTCTCTCTCTCTCTCTCTCTCATCTCTCTCTCTCTCTCTCTCTCTCTCTCTCTCTCTCTCCTCACCTCAGCACCATTTCCTTCTCAGTATACTCTGGCTCAAACTGATATGGTGCAACAGTCGCTCCACAGAAAGTGTGATTGTCTTCTTGTCAGAGCGCCTCGTTAACATATCGCTGCCTGACCTTTTCCTTTCAAAGTGCTATGACTTTGCAGAGTTACTTCTTTGCTAACGGCGGTTTGTTTACTAAGAAATATGCAGACTCTCAAGGTCTGATCAACCAATGAGAGTGAACGTAGAAGGGGTGGTACATTTATGTGCTATCATGCAGCTAAAACTTACTTAGCTTACTTCCTCAATGAGAAATCTGTATCAGGACTTGAGCCCCGCCCACTACGCTTCTTGCTCCAGGTGCACAGGTGAAAGAGCAGAGAGTATCCCGATGGTTTGAGGAGGAAACATCTGAGAGACTCAGCCACATGTTTGAGCCTCAGTCAGACCCAGACTCAGATCAGAAGTCTGTCTGTTGAGACCAGAATCTGAGACTGGCAGACGTATCAATACAGTTAGCGTAGTTAGCATCTTTTATCTGTTTATGCTGTTTGTTAGCTTGTAACTAGCAGTGGCTGACACAGTGTGAGTGGTTGTGCTGATGCTAACTCTCCCTGTCTCTCTCTCTCTCTCTCTCTGTGCTGACAAGGTTTCAGGTTTATTTATTTTTCATCAGAGGGAGGTCTTTAACACAATTACATTTTTACAAAAACCAGTGTTGATGTGTGTTTCATTATGAGGCGTTAGCTGTGTTGGGTAAGTCTGTGTGAGTTGATAAAAAAAGAACTGAAATGAATGAGCCCCTGTAAAGTGGGAAAAAAACCCATTTAAAAATTACAGTGCCACATTAATTGTGAAATGGCTTTAAGCAGACAGGATTTACTGGACCGATGCACTGCGATACCTCTGGAATGGTCCTTTAACATTCAAACCCAGAATACTAGAGTGCATGTAATGTCAGTGTGGATGTTTGATAGTTATTAAGATAAAATGCAACGCGGAAAAACCTTCAATGTAGGCTTATCCGTCAAAGACAGATATAAAGGGTTTCCAGATGCTTCATTCAGTATATTGGATCAACCAGAGCACAGATGAAACACAGCCAGTCATAACATAGACACAAACAAACCCCTGACCTCGACCATATTGTAAAGCGTGTCTCCTGCCAGCTGGAGAATGTGTGAGTACAGACTCATGGTAGATGTCCTCACAGACGCCGGGGCTAAATCCGGGCTTACACTCACAAAACAAAGCATCATTCCCACTTACGTAACCCGGGTTCTGAACATGACGACATGTGCAACCTGTCATGTAATTTAACTTTCTCTGTTTTAACAAGCAATGTTTAACATGTTCTGTTTTTAATTTTTCTAATTTGCTCTTCCTGTCTGTTTCTTCTCCAGTCCGAACTGCCCTAATAGCTATCATCGGATTCATGCCAACAAAAGGAGAAGGAGCGATAGGATCTCTTGATTATACCCCAGAGGAGAGGAGGGCCCTTGCCAAAAAGTAAGATTTGGTAGATGAAAATCTTTCCAATGTTTACTCTCTGCAGAGCGTGTGCAGTGTTGTGGATAGAGAATGATAATGAGGGAAATGTGTGGAGCCATGTGGAACAGTGTGTATCATATAGATAATATGATCTTGCCAGTGGGACGAACAAACACGCAGGTAGATGATGATATCGGTGCCGGCGTCACGTCGCATGATGCCGGTTCAGTGGCACCGACACCGTACGAGCATGTGAACGTAATCAGCACCTGAGCCCCCGGAGGACACGGCTCCCGCTAATAACTGCTTAATCACAAAGGGAAAGGAGCCCGCCCAAGCCGGTCCTGCTAATGCAAGATGACAAATTCATTATCGCCAAAATATCCGGTCCCTGGAGGGAGCATGAATGGGCACATTGCTCTTCTTTTCACACTGCATTTCCCCCCCAAGAGAAAATGGTACAAAGCCAGAGAAGGATAAAATCCAGCTAAAGTCGCTCTTCTATTAGCAGATGAGGCGGGGTCTTGATCAGCCGGCTGTTTCATTAGCACATGGAGATGAGATCGACACTAAGACGCACTTTGCTATAAATACGTGGCTGCTTATCTCCCTGATGGAAACCCTTCTTTTTTTTTCAATCCAAGGTTGAGGCAGCACTTCTCTTTTTTGTGTGTGTGTGTGTGTGTGTGTGCATGTGTGCGTGTGTGTGTGTGTGTGTGTGTGCAGCCTGTTGCAGTGGCTCCTGCTTGTTTTGTTATTTTTCTAACTTTTTAGGTTTCTGCTGTCGTCATACTTGTTATAGTTTTTTTACTTGTTATAGTTTTTTCCCAGTAACTTATTTAAGCTGAGCCATCTCCAGGGTTAGGGGTTAGTGAAGAGACTTCACCATGTAGTTACTTCTTTCATTCAGCTACCTTTTTGAATGCTATCAATCAGCCGCGCTACCGCTGTGCAGAAACTCCAGCATCGCCGCCACAACAACAGACACCCGCACAGAAATCAAGGGGGACGCACAGAGGATGTAGAAGCAGGAACGTAGTGTCAAGCAAACAGAGATGGGTCTCTGGTGGAGGAGAGCGAATCTCCCTCCTGTCGTCGTCGGCAACATCAGGTCACTGGGCAATAAGATGGACAAGCTCGCGGCCCTAGCAAGGAATCAATCAGTAACTGTGTGTGTTTCATCCCTCGGAGAGACTGCATTTGAAAACTGATTCCAGTACAGCGGCGCGACCTGGCTGCCCCTAATGCAGCTGAGAAACGCGGCCTTCTTTTCCTGGGCAACAAAAGGCTCCGATTGATGGATCCTTCATGGCCCAACCTATCCCAAGATTCATTGCGCGGCGGTAATGAAAATAAGAAGTCAGGAGCGAGAGGAGCGGTGCTTTGTGTTGCGACAGTAAAGGCGGACACGGCTGGAGACGCAAAGGGAAAATCCTCCCTAGGCCAGAGCATTTCGCTTCGGCCTTCGCGGTCGACAGTGGCGTTTTACTTCTTTACTTCCTCTTTCCTAACGGCGTGCTGTATAATAAAAGCAATTTCTCTGCGAGGATCAGTAAAAGTTTTTCTGATCCTGATCTCCGGTTTCTGTGCCCCGGGTGACGGTGAGAGCTGCCGGTCGGCGAAGGCACGGCAGGTTTTCAGAGTTTGTCAAGTAAACTGCCACCGGAGTTGGCTAGCTTGAGATGTGGCGGGACTAACGGTGAGGTCTGGTCTGGTTGATGTGGACACTTGGTAAAAGATCATTTTCAGTTGACTGTTACTGCTACAAATGAGGTAATTTAGTTCAACAAATCCAACATTTTTTCCTGATGGTGTCTAATATAAAAAAAAATCATAACATCACATCAGAATAACAAAAATAAATATGTATTTTACAGAAAGGGAATATGAAGGAATACACTGATATAGTATTCTGTAATAGTTTGTGTACATCCCCACCCTCAAAGTATATTTCCCATAATCCCCGAATGGTGTCTCCACCACCCGTCAGTTGAATTATGTAAAGTTGCAATGTGTTTTTTGGGTACAGTAGTTCAGTGCAGTAATCATTTTCCTCTATCCCCTGGAGCAGGGTGCCAACATTTTCTGTTGCTTCAAGCTGTGCAAATGATTGTCTAGCCATAGACTTGTGTGACTGGCCTGTGGTGGGCCAGAGGGGGGCAGCTGTCACAGCATGCATTAATATTTGACAACTCAACTCAAGGGGCAATTTTTATTTATTTATTTTTTTCAAAGAAGCCTTTGGATCGAGCGTTTTGGAAAAATCCTCATTCCATACTTTATATATTTAACATTCTGCATGTTTGTTCTGTGAAACGGGATCTTACAACTTATACCAAGTATTAAATAGTAGCTGTGTGAATATACGTTTGCACATTTTTGATTGGCCACTGCATTGTGTTGCAGCAAACTTTATCTGAGGTCCAACTTTTTACTTGACAGCCGTACATCTATTTTTTTTTTTTTTTTTCTTGAGAAGACCTCTTGCTTTGGGACCCACACTATTCTGACAGTCTAAATGTAATGGATATGGCTTCAAGTCTGACTCCGAGGGCAAAATTGTTCCAAATGGCGACTCTTGAAGGCCCCGGGGGAAAAGCCCGCTATCACAACCTCCTCCTGGCTGCATCCTGCTGCCTCCCCAATTTCTCTCCAAGAGCTGTGTTTTTTTTTTTTTTTTGTTTTTTTTTATGTATCATTGTAATCTTGACTGGAGCAATCATACAAGAGTACACACTTTAAGACACACAAAAAGCGACGGACACAGTGAAGACCCTGACTACGCTTAGACCTCCCCACGCGATTGTTGTGGATTGTCTTTTTGGAAAGTTACCAAAGAGACAAATTTTCCCACTCTGCTGTTTCCACTTGGCTCGGGGGTGGGAACAGTAAGGGAGGCCACACACACAGATACATCTGTCACAAAGTTATTTATTTAACTCAAATGAACAAACACACTGCGTCACAATACCGACGCCTTAAAACTTAATGATTCACGAACCAGTGATTGACACAACATCGTCAAACTCGCTGCTGTCCTCTCAGCATGCGTCCCAGATTTTACAAGCCAAATCACCAGTTTTAGCGTCTCTCCGTGCTGAGATGTGTTTTCCTCAACGATCAGCGCTTGTTGCCTAAAAGGCTTCTAACGGTCATCCATCAAACAACCACGGAGCCTGTCTGCGTGGCGTCCGCTTTAGGAGACGTAAACTGCCTGTTAAAGCTGTCATAGTCCAGTGGCGTGATGACTGGAGGCATAAGAGAACACTTGCCGTGCCTTGTGAAATGCCGGATGCCTAATAAGCCCTGCTTCTTCCCCATCTACATCTTAACTTCACTTGAATATGATCCAATTCCCATTTTTTGCTCCGGAGGAAGACTGTGATTTGGATCGTTTAATACCATGATGTATCCAAATCTATCCATGCCACCTTTAACCTGAGGAGCTGTACAGTCCTCTTTGCAGCTCTTACATCAGTCCATTAGCCGCTGCAAGAGACGATTAGATTCTATAAGACAAATCCGCAGAAACCTCTTTTATTTGATGCATTATTTTTATATTTTTTCCACATCACTGCACTAAGCAGCTGCGTTGATCCTTCTCTTAGCAATATGGCACTGAACCCCACCTCCAGGGCTGACATGAGGCCTAAAGATGCGTGCAACAGCCTGACCTCCTAGCAAGGACCTGCCACGGGTGGTGAAGACGCTCTAACAGCTAATGACATAAACGCACTCATGGGCAGCTCAGTCTAAAAATCTTTCAGACGTCATAATCATGGTGCAGCATTACCACTGGCCAAGCACCGGATGACGGGACTTTTTTTTTTCTTTGGCAGATAACTTAGTGAGTCATCCTCTGCGTGGGCTGTTTACTTTGTGGGATTTGACATTTAAATGCATTTAAACGCCTGAGTTCTTTGTCTGGTTTCTCTTTCTTTGTTCATATCAACCACGGCACACTCTACAACGTCAGCCAGCAAATCTAAACTGGGGCTCTGTATCAAACACACTGTTGACTGGATGCCCAGTTCACTGCTCCAAAATAATTGTGTATGTGTGTTCATTCATGTTCACACTGACACAGTCAAGATATTCTGGGAAATCAATTCTCTTTCAAGGGGCTGGTTGAGGAGTAGGACTTGATTTTTAGGATTAAAGTTAGTTGGGTTTAGATTAAGGTGTAAGTTTAACCAGTTTTTAATGTGATTAAACACATTTTATTTACCAAAGTAATGAGGTAAATGGATCTTGTGTTCTCTTGACGTCTTTTCCAGCCGTTGGGGGAAACCATCACCACCAAGAGTTTTGTGTTATGAGTGGGGACATCATCACTCTCGTAGCTAGCTAGCTACTTAACTACGTTGACTATACTGACAGTGTTGTTGTAAGTCACTTGACAGAGATAACAGCTTTTAAATTATATAACTATTTAATCAGTGCAGGTTAACGTCTCCTAGCAGGTGCTACCTGGACTGGTTGTAAACTCTTTAGGAAGTTTACTAGGAAGCGAAAACGGAGGCAAATGGTAAAATTACTGCCCAAATTATGTGGTGATGCCGGGTTATTTTTCCAACTTTGACAAAACAACATATACTAGGGGCAAGCCAGTGACAGGAAGTGACAGGCTCGTACTACGCGGTAAATGCTATTGGACAGCCAAAAAGTTGGAAGAAAGATCCTTAAGCTACAGTTTCTAACACCAAGAGCAAATCTCTGTGTGAACTTTCAGTCAGACACAGACAAAAGAATTTGAAATAATTTATGAAAGTTTAAAGTTTATTTGGAAAGTCTCAGGAACTTCTGCCTGCTCAGGTCTGTGCTTATTCTGCTGGAGGCACCTATCCCAAATCTCTACAACAGAGGTGGTGAGAGAAAAGTTAATGTGGCCCAAGAGGAGAATAATACCTAGGTTGAAAAACAGTAGAATCTTGAAGCACGAAGTTGTGATATTGTGTGTTTAAAATAAGGTGTTGCGGCTAATGCAATATAGTGGAATAAGACGTGTAGCTGGAATCACAATCCCACTTCATTGCATCCACGTAGCGTGATGTATTTTAGAGAAAAATATAGATGCTCTCAGAACGTTAAAGCGTAGAATGAGAGGTGCCTTTGCAGCAGCATGACCTCACCATGTACCGCCTGTTCTCCGGCAGGTCCCAGGACTTCTGCTGCGAGGCGTGTGGCTGCTCCATGCGCTCCGCCCTCCTGGCCCTGACCCCCAACAGTCACCCCAGCGCCGAGGACCACAAGGCCAAAGAACTGGCTCAGCAAATCAACTTCAAGGTAAAAAAAAAAAAAAAACTATGTGTAACTATGTGAATAAAATCTGCAGTTGGGGGGATGAGTTGCATTGACAGTAGCTTAACGATCACATTTAAACAGACAAGCAAACTCTAACATGTTTTACTTTATGGTAACAACCAGTCACATCTGTTTCTCTTGAGCCCACAGTCCAGTCCTGAATGTTTAACACGCTCATTAAAAAAAATACAGTATATTATTATTGTTATTATCATTGTTTAATGCTGTCTGGGGAATGCACAGTGTAGACGAGGAGTTGAGCGCAGTTGTCTGTGTGTTGATGCAGGCGGAGTCCAGTTTATCCAGACAGGCGAGCGAGAGCGGAGGAGCAGAGAGCAAACCTTCCACACTCACCCAGGGAGACACCTCCACGTCTGCCAGCCAGGAAGATGCTGACTGGCCCCAGGCCGAACAGGTAGGTGTTGTAGTGCCTTTCTGGGGTTAAACAGGACGGCACATAACCTGCCTACGGCCAACCCACCACCTACAGAAGAGGCTGTCCCTCTGGTTTTTATGTGTTTGTAGCTTATCAACCTCAAATGATGTAAAAAAAAAAAAAAAAAATGACTTGCAACAATATCAGAAATGATTTGTTTTGTTGTTTTCACATGTTTTACTATCTACAATTTCAGTTCATTTTATCATGCTAAAGCAATTACCTTGCATATTCTAGAAATATGACAGTAACCACTTAGTCACCTTAATTATAATTATATATTTTTGTCAAGGTTATATTCTTGTTGTTTAAAATGCAGCTGGGAGCCGCTGAGTTTACCTCCTGAATTATTCACTCTGCTGGATTCATTTAAATCGTTGCTGCAGCCCACTCCGCTAGTTGTTGCCAGTAGGGATAAAAATAAACAATAAAATCTGAGGAAATCAGGAAGTCAGTCTAAAAACTTGAGCAATTTTGGTTTGTAATTTCTATCAATTATGAGAGTATTTTATTCACCAAGGTAATAAAGACTGTGGGTAAAATGCTCAGCTTGTGCAGAAAATGAAACGTCAAAGCGAGACATCATCACATTAATACAAAAATCCAACACCACCATAAAACAGACCTGTTCATTTGTTTGCGGCATTGCCAGTAATGTCTTCATACAACCAGAGATATTAAAGAGATATAGAAGTATAGAAGTAGTATAGAAAAATATTTGACAACAAATTTTATATGATCTGATCGTATAAATCTTCAAATTGCCCGATTAACATCGTGTTTTTCCAACCTCCATTGATTTAACTTCTCACCTTGCTGCAGTGATGTACAGTGTCCTCCCAGGTGTGTGTGTGTGTGTGTGTGTGTGTGTGTCAGTACACTGTGACATCACATTTGGGTGTGGTGCCGCACGCTGCCTTTCAGTCTAGTTTGAAGTTACTCTTCAAGTTGAACTTCAGGCATGTGACGCAACGTGCAGCTGTTGTTCCTGATAAAGTTTGTGAATAGAATTCAGTTCCTCTCCTTTTCTTCCCGTTCTTCTCCGTAATGTTGCAGGAGGATAAAGATGCAGTCAGTTCACATGCTTCTTCCAAAGGGAGGGGGGGAAACAAAACGGTTAAGGTTTGGGAATAGCCGATTTTAAAGGGAGTGTTGTGTGGCATATTGAGAGTTTCCATTCGCCCCGCTCAGCCCCCTTCACCTGATGTTTGGCATAATTAAAAGACAGACGTGTCTGTAGCATTCTGCATTTTGTTTTTCAATCCATTTAAGCTCCTAAACATTGGACAGAGCCGTGGGTGCTCCAGGTCTCCACAGTGTACAATCAAAAGGATTATGTGCTGCCTGCCTGTAGTCAATTACCCATCTTTCACATTGTTCCTTTTAATTGGTGGCATGCTTCATCACCTGCTGACGGCCCACTGAGCTCCGAAATCATTTTGAATTCGTATGGAAGGAAGTGATTCTGCATGCTGACTGTGCAGCAGCGCCCTGCCAGCTGTGTTTGTTGTTAGTGTGTGAAATCAAGCAGCTAGACATCAGCGCTCTCTCTTAACATCATTGTGAATGTGTCACGGGAGCTCGAAAGCTTGTGTTTCCACAGCCTCTTTCCACCACTTCTGATGATGTGGGCAAAGCTCTGGACGCCTGAGAGGATTGATTTTGGCGCTAGTTGCCACCCACAGAATCGCAGCCACGGTCTGAAGGAGCGGAGCAGAGGCTGAACTTAGATTGGCGTGTTCCAGTTTGGGAAAAACCGAAGAGGGCTCACCGTCTATCGCTGAAAGTTGGAGAGAAAAGACTTAGAATTTGTCCAGAATGAGACAGGCCGTCCCACCGTATCCCACACTGCCATGCTGCTGTACCAAGGGATGTAAGAAGACTGTGTACTTTTTATTGCCTCCCCCAGTTTCTCCAGGATCCCTCCAGCCATTATCTAATTGGGTGAAATTTCAGTTTTCTATGTAAAAAGCTGAGGCACAGCTCACTTGTTATTCATCCTCCTCACAGCCTCCCGTCCACCACAGAGGACCCAGTCTGTCTGCACTGGTCGCTTTAAATGGACGTGAGCGTTGCAATTTTCTCTCTAACTAACTCTAATACTATAGCAGTTTTTAATTGTGCTGATCCGGGAAGTTCATGAATTACACATCATTTCTGTGAAGGGACAGAAAAGGGGAAAAATGCCTCGCACTGATTTTGGAAAGATTTGCTTGCAGGTTTAATTCTTCAGTGCGTTCAGAAAGTATTCAGACCCCCTTCACTTTTTTCACATGTTGTTACGTTGCACATTTTTGCTAAAATAACAATAATCATGAAAAAACTGAAATATCACATTGACAGAAGTATTCAGACGCTTTCAATTTAGCTCAGGTGCCTCCCATTTCTCTTGATTATCTCTGAGACGTTTCTACACCTTTATTGGAGTCCACCTGTAGTGGAGCAGGTCGTCCGTGGGTTTGGTTCCCCCGGCTCCTCCTCCACATGTCGAAGCATCAAAATACTGAACCCCAAACTGCCCCTGATGGCTGACTGATGGCTTTTCTGTCAGTGTATGTGAATGTGTGTGTGAATGGGTGAATGTGGCGTGTATCATAAAGCCTTTTGATTGGTTGATAAGACTAGAAAAGTGCAATATAAGTGCAGTCCATTTACCGTTTTCCATGAGGAGGAGGGAACTGCCTGCAGAGCTCAGAGACTGAGGGGAAGGAGACAAAATAGTGGCCTCCATCGTTCTTAAATTGAGTCTCATAAATGATTAACCATAAACTTTGGATTTATAATTCATAATTAGAATTAACAAAATAAATGGAAACTCTAGTGAAATGATTAGTGTTTAAATTTAGTTATAATTATATCACAACCAGTAATGAAGATATCTGAACTACTGTGTTCACAGAGGATGTTGTAACTAACCTTGGCCAGATGTGCGGCTTACTTACTTAGTGACCAGATGTGTCTGTCCGTCTTCTCCACTGGATGGCGTCGGGCAGATCCAGCAGCTGTCCTGTTTTTCCGAGCTCGTCAGCCGGTTCGGGACTTGCGTCTCTCGCTCGGAGAGTCGTCAGTGTTCAGAAATGAAAGGGAATCGATCGTCTCCTGCCTCTGTTGAAACTCGGTGGCTTTTATTACAAATGAACTGCTTACAACAGCTGATGAGTACATTATCTCGCACTATAAAACTGTGGCCAGGTTTAATGTAAGAAAACAGGGTGTGTTGGTGTTTGTCCTTCGTTCTGCCTCGGCGCAGCAGAGAAGGAAAGAAGTTAGTTGATAAGACGACGTCATGGGTCGCTGCCTTACACTCACTGCCAGTGACTGTTCAGGCAGGAAGTTGATTAGCTGAGGATTATGGAAAACTTGAGTCCATGTGGAGCCATTTGAAAACCCCTTCAACACTAACCAAGTTCATTTACAGCCACATAGCACACATCTAAATGAGCTGCAAGAATGTAATTACACTTGTACACGGAAGCTGTCAGCAAATTAACTCTAAACTGTACTAGAAATACAGCTGCTGAAGAACAGATGCTGTGTTTCCAGTGGATATCAGAGGTGCAACGTTGCCATGACTGAGCTGTAGCGCCACCTGAAAGCAGCACAGTCAGATCCACTGGACAGTGTAGTTGACTAATTGTTTCACCCTCTAAATGCGGGTTCTGTCTCACTGATACTCTCACTGCCGTCCTCCTCCACAGCCAGAGGCGTCTCCCGCCGCTGAGGGATCCCCGCCCCACACAACCCCCGGCACCGGTCGCCCTCTCAGTCCCCGGCAGCGTCGCACCCAGCAGCACAGCCACCAGGCTCAGAGAGACAGCAGAGAAGCGGCCAACAGGCCGGCCTTCGCCGCGCCCCCCCGTCAGCCTCAGGATGAAAGCCACGCGGGCTCCGCCGTCCTCATCGTGGTGCTCACTCTGGCTCTGGCTGCGCTCATCTTCCGCAGGATCTACCTGGCTCAAGAGTACAAGTTTGACTACGAGCTGTGACCACACACCAGGCCTCCCCTCCCTCCCTCCCTCCTTCCCTCCCTCCCTCCTTCCCTCTCCTCACCCCCGAGTCAGCCCTTCCTGCCACCACCCCAAACGAACTATGACCAACTGAAGTGGAAGCAGAACCGAGGCAGTGGCTGACGCACGCTTTCTGGTGTACTGCTCGTCAGCGGAGAGGCTTCGGTCTCCACCGAGGAGGAACTTTCATTCCTGCAGGGGAGGCGCTCCACTCACCACAACACCTCCAGGGTGTCTTTTAATCAATGTGAATTTTACTCTCCAGCGTGTCATGCATTTTTAAGAATGGGAAGCTTTGTTGTTTGTGATCAGCTCAGCAGCCGCACACACCACATCCCCCCTTCCATGTAGTTGTTGTCTATCCTCGGGCTGCTGCTTATTCCCATTATTTAATTAAAATTATAATACAACATGTCAGCAACATGGAATTATGGGGGATTTTATGTATGTCCTTTTTATGTTCTTAGGCACAGAGCTCCGTTTAACTGTGCAAGTGAAACAACCAGTGGAAAAAACAGAGGAGCAGTGACTATTTTAGTTCATGCAGATGCAGTTGGTCCTCCGTAACTCAACAGTGTCTCTCACGTTGTAAACGGTCACATCATGTTGTAGCTGATGCGATGTGGCAGCGCTGCGTATTATAAGAATAATGCACGAAGGGAAGGAGGCAGTAATCGATGAGGCCTGTTGATCCGATGTCTCCTACATAAACAGACAGAAAGCTGGTTTACAGCAGACCAGTCTGTTGTGTGTGGCTGCAGGTTTTATCAATATTTAAGGAACTGAAGAAGGTTTTTGATAAAGCAGCTGTACATAACAGATACTGTAAGAATCTGTCATTAACCGATCAGTGCAGGCTGATTTACCAACGTTTGCGTGTAACTCCATATTCTGTGACCACTGTCGTGTGTGACGGCAGTCGAGCTGTTGCAGGGATGTTATCACACTTTCTATAAGCGAGCAGCCGAACGTGCCTCAAAGTCACAGTTTCTGACACAGTCCGTCAGAAAATGTGACCCTGCAGTATCTGAATAAAATCAATAAAACATGTTGCATCCAAATGCAACTGTCTCTCACCTTTTTATAAAAGCTGACAACACCAAAACAAACTGTCGAGAGTCAACAGAAGACGGGTCACTAGTTTTTCAACATGAGAAAATGTGAGAAAAATACACAGCAACAAGTTATTGTCAGGTGGGTCACCTCTCTCTCACCCCTTTTTAGAGAATGAATCAAATTAACATCACTTGATTAGAAACAGCCACTTGTAAAAGTGTGACTGTTTCCTTGCAACAGCAGCTCCTGCGGTCACACGTTAAAGGGGAACACTTCTGTTTCTGCACATCAAAGTGTGTGTATGTGTTTCCGGGGGGGGGAGAGGGGGTTACTACTCCTGCATGTGTGGTGAAGGGTCCAGAGGGATGTGTGAAGTCTGATAAGTGTCCTCAAGTGATGTCACTTGAGTCAGCGTGGGTTTGGAGCTGAAGACTACAGGTTTGAAAAAATAATAATAATAATAATCTGCGTGTGTGTTGGAACTACATTAGCTAGCATAACCATAGACTGTAAATAAAGATGGACGTAGCCTCCATGACGTCACACACAGGTTTCTGAAGAGCAGTTTTGAAGCTCAGAGTGAGCTGCTCCATCGTCGCCATCTTGGCAGTTTTTTGACTCCGCCCCCTAACTCCCAGGGAATCCAAAAATGAGCAAAGAGATGGGGCGTGTGTGTGACTTGGAAGAATGCCAGCTTGTGGCAAGCATGCGCTTACGTACCTGTCACTCAAAGAGGCCCCGCCCTCAATTATGCATAACTATAAGTCTTTATGAAATGTAAACAGGTGAGTTATATAAACAGGTGTCATGAAGGAGGAAATTAGCTTTAGAAAACAAAACAGTTTTTTGTACCAGGTTGTAAACACATTTATTTCTGCTGTAAAGTTGGACATTTTAACATGGGAGTCTGTGGGGATTGACTCGCTGTTGGAGCCAGACTCTAGTGGTAATTACAGGAACTGCAGTTTTTGGTACTGGTCGCCTGATGTTGCATTATGGGTGATGTAGGTGCCAGATTTTGATGAGGAAGATCCATAGTAAGTCACACAGTGTTACAGGAGTGTACGGCTGCTCGCGTTTTTTAACATGGTCACAGAATATGTTGCAACACCTGCTATAATCTCATGACACTTTCATTTTCGAAGGTGATTTAAATGCGTCTGGTTGGGCTTATTAATTAAATTTTTCACTCAAAATTTTAAGCATTATCACATAATTCATCAGTTTGTTCTTATTGACAAAATCACTAAATTGCCAAGCGTTTGCTTCAAAACGCCAACCACCTAATTTGTGCTGAATTTCAGCGTAAGAAAAAGTACCAATCTGCTTGTGCTGGTCATCGCGCCACTAAAACAGAGCACACAGAGTAATAATTCCCAGCAGTCCTGTGAGGGGGGGAAAGGGTGGCTGTTTGGCTCACTTACTGAAGTATAGCATGAGCTGCTTTGAACTGTTGTTGCCATATCGACATTTACCGATCATTTTAGGGATTATGTGGTAAACCAGTAAACATGGTCTATGTTGTCTCTCACATCCTCAAACAGTTTTTCCTCATTTTTATCTGAATCAGGAAGTCATTTCTTTCTGTGGACAGTGTAATTCCATTCATTTGTATCTTTCCTCCCTCCCTGCCTCTCTCCCTGTCTCCCCTGCTGTTTCATGGTATTCACACCACATCCCTGTGCATTAATCTCATTTGGCTTGCACTCTCTGAAGCTGTATGCAAACAGTCATTTTTCTCCCCACCCCCCCCCCTGCTTGTATAAATAGACCCAAACACTGTCTAACATTTACCTTCTTTGATATACTTTGAGTAGGGGTTTATCACTCTGATGAGACTCAGCGGAACTGGGAAGCAATTTAAATTCATTCTGATGGCTTTTGGACACGTACGGCAACTTAGCAGCATACAAATAGCCGAAGGTAGTTGTAGCAGTCTACCTGTTGAGTGGAACAAATCTATATTGGTAGTTTTTTCTCTCTTATTCGGGCAACATCTTATACCTGCATGTGTCCAGGTTTCACTTGAAGGCAGCAGAGATTCTCTGTGAATATTCATGTTCTTCAAATATTCATATTCTCCGAATCTCTCTGTATCTGCCTCTTCAGTTATTGTGCCCAAGGCTGGTATACTGGTGTATAAACAAAATAAATGACTTGAATGAAAGAATGTGATTGCCATGTCTCAGGTTGTATAATCCCTTACTACACCTACAGGGAATCTGCATTATTGTTGTTACCGATTAATAATCCTGATGATTGATTGGGTAATTGTAGGTGCTAATGTGTTCAAAGAAACAAAGGAAACATCCACATATGCAGTGATAATGGCCGAATTCAGAGGCAAGAGTGTAGATTATTAGATAGTTGATGTTTGGAGGAGCTATTTTGTAAGTTTTGCTATTGCTACATAGCTAACGTTAGCATTAACAGCTGTTTACGTACCGGTCTAGAAGAAGTTGTGAGTTCAGCATCAAACATTACTCCTTTACTCACCAACAGCTGTCTCCACAGGTGGAAATTATCACCAGTGTTAGCTCTTGTCTCTATCGCGTCTTTTTCTTCTAGTGAAGTTAGCATGCTAACCTGCTAGCCCTAGCACGTCTCGCCACTACTGTGCCAAAGATGATCCAACCTATCGTTGCTAAGATTTAATTCAAACCACTGAATCAGATGGTGGAGCAGGAGGAAAAGTCAGAGGATCGGCAAAGGCCGGATTCGTTGTCCGGGCATCAGAACCGAATTTCTCTGCAGGACCGAAGAAGTGCACCACCAGACGTTGACATAGAGCCCTGCGGCTAACACGGCTAAAACTGGCAGGACGATGACCCGAAGACACTGAAACCTGACTTATAGGTGAGTAAACCCGTCTCAAAGTCAAACTATCTACAAATTTTTATGTTACTTTATATTATTGTCCACAAGTCCCATGAAAATGCAAAGCCAATGAAGAGTTAAACTTCTAGTAACTAGCAGTTATCGGCTATCTCACTCTCTGACCCTGTTCATGTTCGGTTAAACCAGCGCTGTAGACTTAAGACTGGAGGTTTGGCTTGGAGTCCAAAAATGTGAACTTTAAATATTTTTCTTCTCAAATCAAGAGTCGAGTTTCATGTAAATCTTGCAGCAGTGAATCTCAAGTTTGGACCTGATAATAATTTAAAAAAAAATTGCAATTGTTAACTGAATCATTGAAATGAATGGTTTTGGAGTTTTGAAAGCAAAATGTTCTCGTGTCATTTTAATAGTTGCGTTCAGAGACCTGAAAGAAGAGTGACTGACCTGCAGTTTTCTTACTGAAGAGTTGAGACCTGACTTCAGTGACTGACCTGTTTTTGATTTGTTTGACACTTGACTTGGACTTGTTTCACGTTACATGAGACCAGGACTTGAGACTTGACTTGTACTTCTTTCAATCGACTCAATATTTTACTCAACCACCCTTTATATCACATATTTAAATGCATTAATCTATAATGAACTAGTCTTTTAGTTCAACCAGACAAGAAAAGCTGAAGCTAAAGAAACACATTTTAGTTACGGAAGCGGCACTTTGCCCCGTTCATTACCTCAAGACAGAGTGAAGTTCCTGCAGTTTTTAGGTCTTATGTCTGTGTCTGTAAATTTGGGATGAAATAATCAGGCTCAAAAGGCATAAAATTAAGGTGGTAAAACTTAATTGAATAATCTGTCACTCAGTTTTGGTAAGTCAGCCTCAAAACTTCCAAATCTTTTTTTTTTTTAAAAAAAAGGGGGAAATCTCTTCCTGCCTGTGAAACTCCTCCATCACTGGATGCTCAGAATTAATCAGGCTGGACGTAGCCGTCTAGAAAACATCATTTTGACTCAATCATATCTTTTAATCTTTTCAGATCAGAAACACACACACACCCCCCAACACACACACACACACACACACACACACACACACACACACTGATGGAGCAGCAGACTGTTCATCAGCTTCCACAAAGACTAATGTGAGGAGCTGACACCACTGTCATTCTTCACTGTGTGATGGACGGAGGTTAAAGGTCAAGACAAAAACATCAGGAATCAACTGTGACGCCGCATATTGACGAATTCTCCCTGCAGCCGGCAGCTGCTGGCATCTTCACACTTTCCATAGAGGAAAAGGGGATTTGGCAACTTTTGCAGGAAATCCATAGAAAAAAAAAAAAGTATTAATCCTAAATAAACTGAGTCTGAGAAGGATATTTGAACGTCTGCCCAATCGGGTGAGATATTGTAATTCCACTGGTTTCTAATGCAATTTCACATCTTCCAAGAACATTTCTATCCAGACTCCAGGCGGATGTGAGGAGGAGCCCCCGCGAGCGAGACAGCTGTGGACAATCCGAGACTTGAACTGAGGATGAGGACGCCCTGACTCTGTCCTCCACTGCACAGCATTATAATACATGAGATGACATAATTTCACATTTTCCAATCTGCAAATGCAGAGCAGGTTAATGTTAATGATGGTATCAAATCAAGTGATAGAAAACCACTGGACCCTTTCATCATTGTGTCAGGATGATCACCTCCTCCCTCTTCTTGCCTCTCTCCTCCCAGCTGTGTCTCTGCCTCTAAACCACTGGTCAGGAGGGGCTTGTTTGTGTGTTTGTTTGTTTGCTTGTTTGTTTTCACTGCGCTGTGTGTGTGTGTGTGTGTGTATGTGTGTGGCGCTGATGCTGTGTGCTCCTGCGCCAGGGAAAAAAAAAAAAAAAAAAGCTCCTCTGGAGTCTGAAAACCAATCAGAGCGCTTATCAGACTTCACCACTCTGTCTCTCTCTGCAAAGCAGCCGGCGCACTTGTTCCCCACAGTCCCTCGACTCTCCACACTCTTCCTCCTCCTGCCTCTCTGGAAGGAAGATGGTACCGTGCACAGCGCGTCCTGCACGCGGACCAAAGTCGTCACCGATCGACTCGCTGCGGGAATTTTAAACTCATCATGCCGGGTTACGCCAGGTTTCTGCTTTTGCTCCTGTGTTTGATCCTTGTCGGGGAGTGCAGGAAGCACAAAAGTAGGAAAAAGCGATGGTCGGCGCCGGCGGAGACTCACAAGCTCGGCAAGTAAGTGTCGGGGAAACCTTTATTATTATTTATTTTATTATTAACTGAGACGTGAACTCTGACCTCCAGAGATCATCACAGGACAAACATTCACACGAGCTTTCTCCAGCTTATCTCCAAGAACTGACAGGTTATGATTGACACCAGCAAAGACTCATGACATCGTGTTAAAAAAGTAAGGAAATTAGGGGTGAGGCAGCTGCTGAGCGGATCTCCCCTCCAATCAGCATCATCCAGATTGTCAACATCTGCATCAGCCCGCGCCCTTTCTGCTCCAAATCCGTTTTCTAACCATCAGGAGCCTCCACACCGCGGCCACACTCCTGTTCTGCGGGTTTTTTAATTTTAGGGGAACCAAAGCATGAAAACAGTGGAGAGCAACCGGAGAGCGCACAGACCTCTCTCTCTCTCTCCCTCTCTCTCTCTCTCTCTCTCTCTCTCTCTCTCTCTCTCTCTCTCCTCCAGCTGCGCATGAAGAAAAACCTCCTGAAGATCCATCCCTGCAGAAGCCTAATGCATGTTGGCTGTTACTCCAGGTGAACACATTCACCTGGAGTAACACAGAGCATTGCATAGATTACGTTCTTTATTCTTTGAGGGGAAACAGGAGAGACTGGAGAGTGGAGGAATGTCTTCATCTCATCCTTAAGCCTTTAGTTTGGTTTTTTTTCAAGCACCCAGCCTCCTCTCAGCAGCAGCTTCAGGTACATTGTCATAGCACTAACAAAACTTCTTCTCGCCCCAGGCGTCAGTCCTTGCAGCAGAGAGGCTGCAAATTTTCATTAATGATTCATCTTCTCATTGTTTCTCCTGCGATCGTTTTGTCTCCCAGATATTCATCACTGAGAAGCTGGAACATTCACTAGAGGATGACGAACAATTAATCAAAGATGTCAAAGTTGCTGGTATTGATAATTTTTTGACAAATTTTTGAACAAAACACTCAGTTTTAAAATGTGCAGAACAGCTGTCACCTACAGTTAAAAATCATGCAACAAAAGACATTCATTCAACCTGGAGACCTTGTTTAATGTGACATGTTCAGTGTTTTCTTTTCTTAGGAAGTACAAAGCAAAAAGAAGAACAAACAAAAAAAAAACAGAAGAAATAAAATTAAATTTAGGAGCCTCAGAGCCGTGGACAGCAGCTGAGCTCGCTCACACAGTCCCCTCCCTCCACTCTTTTAAGTAGAAGGTGCACGTCTGCAATTCTATCATTTTCTACTTGTCGATGAATGTATCCGTCTTATACAGTGTGTGTTTCCAAAGCCTGATATATCTCTTTCCTCTGTGCCACAGAGCTCACTGTTGCACTGGGTGACATGTTCCTTCACTTCATCACCACGAACACACTGTCGTTTATTTTGACTCAATTGCACACACACACACACACGCACACACTCATCAGCCTGCTGCCAGAAATAGTCACTATAGCACCAAACGTGGATTAATTCGCTGCTGAAAATAGTCCCCATCTGTTGCAGTGTTTCCACCTGTTTCCAACAATTTTGGAGCCTTTTTTTTAATTAAATAACATTGTAGTTGTGAGGTGGTAGAAACAATGAGCTCAGAGCCGAGAGCCACGGACAAGGCAGGAAGCATCCAGGGAAATACTGTTCATATTGTTCGATTAGGCTCATGATTTCCATTCAGAGCCAATGTCGGGAGTAGTCCGTGCTGAGAGCGAAACGTCACACACATCGTCCACGTCATGGAGCCGTTGCATTATTTGACGCTCGGGTGAATGTGATAAAATCGCTGCTGTTCTGGAGAGTCGACACGTGTCGAGACGTCAACAACGTGCAGACTGACGCAGACAGTGATGGCTGCGGATGTCTCGATGCACATCTCATGATGCTGGTGTGTGTTTGCCCTGAGGGGGTGTTGAGGTGGCAACAAGTCCTCCAATTTTCATGACAAAACACAACATGCATTTTCCGATCTGACACCTGTATCCTCAGGACCGATTCTCAGCAGTTTCCAGTTGAAAGATAAACTTCTTTATCAACAAAGACAAACACAGGGTTAAGTTTTTGGTTACAATAATAACCACATAGTTGTGGTTATGGAACGATCATGCCGAGCTTTACAAAAACAACAAACATTAAACACAACAGACAAGAAACAAACAGCAGTCTCCAGTGTTCAAGCCCCATATACCCACCTCCATGCTGTCATTCTTCCTGGGAGGATTTGGACTGACTCCAGATTTGGATATCGAGTGCTGCAGGGATGATTTTTTTGTTTTGTTTTGTAAGTTAGCATCACCATGGTTCCCTCGACAAAAACTAATTCTCATTCATTGTATTCTCATTCCTGCAGCACTATTGGGACAGTGGGCAGATGTGGCACATCTGACTTTCATATATGAAACATGTCTTTGTTTTCTGTCACACAGAACCACAATCTTCTTTTACCCAGAACCATCAGTTTAAAGGTCCATGTTTTAAACTTCTCCTGTGTTTTATTTCAAGTGTTGATCCATAAGAAGATTTATTTGTGGTTTTAAGAACCAAAAACCATCTCAGTGTAGTTTTACATCTCCTCTCTCAGGCTTCTCTCTGGAGTTCTAGTAACAACAGGTCAATCAGCCAATCAGAAGAGAGGAGGCTCTGAGCCTCTTCTTCTGATTGGCTGACTGTTTTCAGAGTGATCCAATTAAAATATTGCAGATTTCAGGTAAACACTCAGAGAACACAAATCCTGCAAGGTTGGGTGGTGGGTCCAGGTGGGCGGGGCTTGGGGCATGGCTGAGGGTGGACACTGCTTTGTTGTGACATCACAAAGTTACAGAAGTCCTGACGGCTGGTTTTAAGGCTCAGTTTCTGAATACAGGCTGTGTGCATTTCTCTGTGGACTGAGGCTTTGATACTTTCACAGTATTAATATAGAACCTAGACCTGATCTATAATCAAACAGCACATGGACAGAGACCTTTATACTATATGGGACCTTTAACCTTAACCATTCTTTATTTGTTATAACCACACACTTTAGTCCTAACTTTAAAAACTTCTCTCTGTCCTCTCACCTGTTATCAGTCCTCTGTCGAAGAAGGTTGCGGATGGAACCAAAACCCGAAAGGTGAAGACCACCCACCTTCTGCGCATCGACGAGCATGACTTCACTATGAGGCCCGCCTTCGCAGGTAAGCGCCCGGAGCTGCTTCTATTCAGTGATCAATGAGCAAATATCTGCCCACTGATCTCGACTCTTTTTATCCGAGCGATATCACACACCGACCGGATTAGACGTTGCAGCTCAGCGGTCCTCTGACACTGACTCAGCCTCTCTGCTGTTAATGTCAGGGCCCACCTTCTGCTGAACCTGAGTGTGACTGTTAATACCACTCTGACTGGAAGAGGAGACGCAGGTTTATTCTCCCCACCTGTCTCCGTTCCCACGCGGCTGCCAAACCTTTAAGAGGACAGAAATAGGTGACATGTTGAGCTCGCAGCCCCGAGCGAAAGCAAAAAAAAACAGAGAGAGAGAGAAACAGAGAAACACTCAGCGGGTTCTGTTCTAAAAACAAACTGACAAGAGAGCTGAGCGGAGGACCTGCAGCACCTTAGAGGGAAAGATAGGAAGAAATGTCCTCTCTCCCACTGCTGCTGTAGCATTATGGCTGGTGATGAGTTCATTTCTGCGCCAGATGTTTTTAAAACCATCCATTTCTGTCAACTGTGATTGCTCTGCACTGACAGAAGTCAAACTAAGGGGCGTCCTCTGTGCCCTTACTTTACACCCTGAATGTCAGGACAATGCCACTGCTTCTGGGATTTGAGGAGGCAATTAAAAATAAGAAGCTTATTCCCATTCTCCGGTATTTAGCATAAACAGGCCACTGTATACGTACAGGAGGAGGTGGCGAGCTGAATGAAACGTCCCACAGTGAATTTCATGCTCCTCTGGGACGACAGTTGCAGCCACAGATGGGCGTGGGATCCCACTGAGGATCACTTTTTTCTTTTTTCTTTTTTTTTGTCTTTTGCGTTCGTCAGCTTTTGTTTGCTGATGCAAGCAGTTTCTTCTTCTCCAGCAGAAGAAGAAGAAGGAGAAGAAGAAGAAGAAGAAGGTGATCGTCTCAGTCAAAGATAATCAAAAGCTGTCCTGTGTAAGTGCACTGGGAGGCTGCCGCGCGCTCATCTGGCTGAGGAAGAAGCGTGTGTGCGCGCAGCAGCTGCCGTGGTTCCTCCAGGCTTCGATTGCAGTGTTACTAATGAAAGCCTCTTACGCAGCCACTTCCTGTTTGCTGGTGGAACGATATGGAGAATGATGCGCTTATGTGCCGCTGGGGATCAGTGAGGGGATGGAGCGAATTCAGTCACAAGTCACAATCAGACAAATCCCGACTGTGGAGAATTCGATTGTCCAAATAAACTGCAAACAATAAACGGATATCTCAAAGAAGCGATAATTGTTTGGTTGAGATTCTTCTGCTTCTACAATATGATTCAGAGAACAACAGCAGGTGCGATTTTGCAGGTGTGGATTTTGATGAAGTTGTGTTATCCTAATTAGAGCCCCTGCTTTGTTCCCATTGGGTGGTCCCCACCTGACGCCTGACGAATCAAACGCATACAGGAAGCTGAAGAGGAGAAGGCGGATGTTTGGACGGAATATTTGTCACCACATCAAGTTAGGATTTCCTGGATACACGTACTTATGGAGCTCCACCTCCCTGTCTGCCTCAGGTTTAAAGAAACACTGGAGGGGCCGGATAGACCTGTCATGCATCAGTCACATTTGCATTAAAGACACGGAAACCCGCCTCCATCAGATTCATCCTCTCACTGCGATTTCTCCAGCCTCGGCAGTACAGTGTGTAATGGACGAGCCGAGCTGTGTAATCTAGTCGGGGTGAACCAAGAGTGGATTTACGGCTGCTAATCCACAAACAGAGCAGCAGTTCAGTGTCAGAGTTGTTCACAAACCTTTCATTCAAAAGAACAAATCTTTTGGGGAAACGAACTGAGCTGGATCACTTCCTGAAACGATCCACAGTCAGTCCCAAGGCGAAAAATAGGCTGCCGTATTTGCACATGTTGCAATAACAAATATAAACCCCGCTTAAATCTCCCTTAAATGATGTTTGATCTGTGGCTAGCATCTACCGACAGCCTGCGTATGAGGCGTATTAGGGGACGAGAGGTAAACACTGCTTACCTCACCAGGAAGACATGTTTGTTGCGTCCCATTCCACTTGTTGACATTCAGATCAACTACTACTTTAATAATGAATAAGTTCACAATGACTTCAGACACAATGAGTTTATTCACATTTAACCACAATCCTTCCCTGACCTTGAACGAAAGCGCTTCTGTTGCCTGAACCTAACCACAGAATGGATGCGAACTCCAGTGACAGCGACAGTCGTGCTTCGAACGCCCGCCATCCAACCCAACCGCCTCCCTGTGACTCTGCTGCCGTTAGTGAACGTAGCGCTGCATTCATTCCTAACCCTAACCCCGTGACCTTTTTCCTTGCTGCGGTTTCTATTGTTGTCGTGGTCACGGCCACGGCGGAAAAAGTTGAAAAAGGTGAACCATCATCAAATCCAACAGGAGCAACAAATAACCGTCAAGTTCATGCTGAACACAGTGGAAGCGGCGGCACAAACCTGTCAGATGACACCTTTAAAGTTAATGTTTATTTTCATCTCAGATGTCAAAATAAATCCTGGGCCAGCATACGCCCGGTTCCACGGCCCGAATCTGGCCCATATATAGCATGACTGTCAGATGCCACTTCCACATCTTGGGACCCATTCTGGGGCACACACAATAAAATCTTCTACCGGAGCTACAGCTACACTCACTAACCAGATGTGCAAGTATATGGGCCAGACTCGGGCCAAGGAATCAGGCCAGAAGTTTCATTTTGCTTCCTGGGATGGAGCTGGATTCAGGGTGTGGTTATCTTCCATAAAGAGCGGAAACAGCTAGCTTACTAAAAATACACCTAGCAACAGAGTTTCTAGCTACTGGTGAGCACAGATTTTAAAAGTCTTTGCACGGACACAATAACACCTAGCTAGGTTAGCTGTTTCCCCTTGCTTCCAGTCTTCATGCTAAGCTTTGCTAACTCCATCCTGTACTTGTTTTATTTGAAGTGTTGATCCATAAGAAGATATATTTGTGGTTTTAAGACCCAAAAACCATCCCAGTGTAATTTTACATCTCCTCTCACAGGCTTCTCTCCGGAGCTCTAGTAACAACAGGTCAGTGAGCCAATCAGAAGAGAGGAGGCTCTGAGGTTCTCTTCTGATTGGCTGACTGTCTTCAGAGTGATCCAATAAAAAAATATAGTAGATTTCAGGTAAAACACTCAGAGAAACCAAATCCTGCAAGGTTTGGATGGTGGGTCCAGGTGGGCGGGGCTTGAGGGCACGGCTGAGACTGGTGACTGTTTAGTTGTGACATCACAAAGTTACAGAAGTCCTGACGGCTGGTTTTAAGGCTCAGTTTCTGAATACAGGCTGTGTGCATTCCTCTGTGGACTGATACCTTCACAATAGAGAGTTAACACATCTAAAAGAAAAGTTCCTGCAAAAACCCAGTAAACTGCCTCCACAAGTGAAATACTTGCCCTTTTGACTAATTTTAGGCTTTACACTTTAATATTTCTGAACGGTTGTGGTACACATCAAAATAAAAGTCCCTCCTAAACACCCACGTCCTGTATTTCCTAGATTAATGATCATTACTCAGCTTGTGTAGTGTAAGTTCCTTAATTAGAGACAATATGAAATTTCATCCACAGGGAGAAATTAAAGCCCATATACACAGTGACTCAAATAATTAGCCTGATAAAAAAATTCAGCTGCTGGATAAATCCCCAAACATTGCTATAAAAATGTTTGCTTTTATGTCACATAATGAATGCATATGGATTATGTGCTTTTGTTTCCTACGCCTTGATGATAATTCCACTTTAAAGACTAAGACGCGGTATTAAGTGAAGCTGTCAATATGCCTGTTGTTCAGGCTGCACGCGCCCATAAACAGACTGTGGAGCATTTTAACTTACAGCGCTTGCTCCTCTGTGATGTTTGTTGGTGCTCGGTGCTGTGGTGTGATGGGGGGGGGGGGGGGGGGGGCATTGGGTGACACACTCTCCCTTCATGCCTTATTTGAAAGCAGCCCACACAGAAGTGCGACTGCGGGCTACAGGGGCCAACTGGAATGATGAAGTGGAGCATCTCTATGACGCATCCATGGGTCTCATCTGATAATCAGTGACGTAGAATAATTCGCTGATGCTCAAAAGCCCAAAATAGCAAAAAAGGAAATCTTCTGGCAAAACCACACGCAGGACATTTCATCTGTGAGCGACTGTCCCGTCTGAACGTATAATAACCCCTCGCTTTTTTTCAGCCTCAGTTTTTGAACACTGCAGCACAGAAAATAAGCTGCAATACCCTGTGATCTCGGGAACATACACTGTTATATCCCTCCATGGTACAGATTGTTTTCTCACTGCTGTGTCCTTGCAGTGCGGGTCAGCTCAGAACGGGCTCCGGCCGCGACCTCGTGTGACCCCGGCTGCAGAGAGAGAGACAGAGACAGAGAGTAAAGTGATCGAGGCTTTTTCTTTTTTTTTTTTATTCCTTTCCTCAGCAGGTGTCTGGTGCCACGTCCGTTGTCTCGGTGACACCAGGAGCTTTCGCTGAGTACGGCACGTGATGTGAGGCATATGGTGTGAGAAAGAGTAGGGAGGACTCTCTGCAGACAGCTGCGAGTTAATATCCCCTCTTCCAGGTAGCAGCTTTGCCGTGCCGCTGGTTATGTAAGGCTGGCACCATTACTGCTGCTCAGATTAAAAATACTACAGCAGCCAATGTGACTTTAATACACGAATAACAGAAGGGTGTGTGAATTTATTTTTGCTATTCATGATAGGGCTACTAGGATACTCCTCCAAATCCCTGTAAATCCCAAGACGGCCTTAAATATAGTCCTTTCAATCATCTCAATACATATCACCAATTATGAAAATATAGTGTTTTGCTTGTCATCAAATGAGCATATGGATATCAAGGATATGATTGTTATTTAAGGGCGGTGTGTAAGAGGAGAAGCTGATGACTACCTCACAACTGGCATCATATTTCTATTAAAATCAAATAATATCAGCACAAATTGAATTATTTTATTATTATTTATAACAATAAATCAAATGACTGTGAAAAAGAGTCAAGTCAGAAACACGTGTGAATTGTCATGGTCTGCCCTGAGAGGACACTTCAGGTTTAGACACTTTTGGACTCTTTAAGTTCAGACTTTTGATTCATTCCCTGTTTTATTTTGATTGAAGTGAGTGACTGAGTCAGGTAAACACTCGGAGGAACTTGAGCCTGCAAGGCTTTGGACGGTGGATGCAGGTGGGCGGGGGCTTGGGGCATGACTGAGAGCGGTGACTGCTTCGTTATGACGTCACAAAGTTACAGAAGCCCTGATTTATAATCAAACAACACATGGACATCCGACTACAATATGGGACCTTTAAGTCTTGGTTTCAACTTTGCAGTACAACATAACTTTAAAACAACGTGAAATCATCATCGTTGTGTTCAACTCACACTCATCAGGTACTAAAACAGTTTGTCAGAAAACGATATGAATGAATGCAAAAACTCTGATGTGTCTAACTGCTGTACACCTGCAGGTCCTGCTGTCCCTGTGGGAGTGGATGTTCAGGTGGAGAGCTTGGACAGCATATCAGAGGTCGACATGGTGAGTCGCTTGAACATGCCCAAAAGTTCACATCGTCAGGTTATGGGTAAAAATAACTTTTTTAAAGTTGTAATTTTACTGTAAAATTGACCTGGAATCTGCTGCAGATACTGATACTGACAAATAACAGTAATTAAAATAGATTCAGTCTAGACCTGGCAGCACTAATTAACATAACATTATCATACCTGTATAACAATTATTATTATGTAATATACTAATATTATATTTTATTAAAATTATTATATTAGCCTATTATACATATTGTCATAATATCACTACACTATTATCATATTATTTTATATTATTTTATATTATTATATTTTTGATGTAAGATATGTCATAGTACATTGACAGTGTTATTATATATGTTATTATTATTAGACTCATACCATACATCTCTATAACTGTTTACATGTCTGTCCATTATGTCCTATATATCCTTCATGTCACCAATAAAGGAATAAAGTTTAAAAAATAATAATTAAATATGCAGAAAATGGGGGATTTTTGAAAGCAAAGACCAGCACAAACATAAAAATAAAAAGTTAAAAATAAAAACCAGAATGTCATTATTAATGCTGCTGTTCCAGTGCGTTTATGTTACTGCCAGCAGCTTTAACTGGTAAATCTGTCACATATTCAGCTTCCAGGCATGAAGCCGCCGACTTTAACAAATGACTGTGCTTCGGCACGTGGGGAAGAAGCGCTCGTCAGACGCAGCAGTTAATGGGGCTTCGCAGGAACATTCTTCATTAGCAGCATGAGAATGCACACATGAGCACCACAGTGAGGAAGACTGCGGTGCGACTTTCTTCTTCAGACGCCGCAGATCGGGGCCCAAAACGCAGTCTGATAACTAGAACTTAATAACAAACATGTATCACTCACACATTGGAATTTGAGGGACTGTGTCCTTTTAGAAAACGACAGATGATTGTATCCCGTTAGTCGCATAGTCATTAAGCCGTTTTCAGTCGGATACTCAGAATGAGGTTATGAAAGCTGGGTGGTAGGAGCCGTTTATTTTGCTCAAAGTCAGACTAAATGCACGTTGAGTAATGTAATTAAATCAACCCTCTGTTCTGGAACCATAAATTGGATCCAAAACTGTCGTCGTGATATTGTGTAAGCTCCTGTTTGCAAGGACAACCAAGGATTACATTTCATTTGGAAGGGTTGAGTATTTATTTGTTTTGGAGCAGACGGAGGGGGTGGGAGTGGAGTGGAGGGGGGTGTGGGTCGGGGGGGGGGGGGGGATTTGAAAAAATTAATGATTCTAAATGACAGCTGCTTTTAATGACATTATGTCATATCACAAAGCTACAGCTTGATTAATGGTTACACAGCAAATGATCTTTCGCAAAAATGAGATATTAAAGGATTTTTCTTAATGTCAACAAATTCCATGAAGAAGAATCCAAAAGCAGCACGCTAGTCCATCTCCACCCTGTGTGTGACTCTCAGCACCGAGGCCAAAGGCTGCTGAGTAAATACCTGAACAATCACGAAAGGAAATAATGTTCAAGCAAACTTCATAACAAGTGTGTTGAGATACAAGGGGCTGAAAGGTGCTTATATTTGAGATTGTGCAGACTACAGTCTCACACATTGCTTTGAGTAACACAAATTGTGGTATATATATGGTTAATTGTTGATAACTTATAACCATGCAGGTACATGTACAAGGGGCTCATTTGGTGCTATAGGGACTGTTTACCACTGAGGATTAATACACATTTGTTGCTGTATAGTAAGTTCCCAACTTTTCCAACTCACGACCCACTTGAAAATGAGGCGGCCCACGTCCGACCTCATAACAACACGGAGACCAAATAATGCGTTCACTTTTCATTTTAATGATAATGATCGAACATTCAGGATTGAACTGAACTTTAATACGAAAAAAGAAAAAAAAAAACAATGAGAGGAGTTTTTCTAATTAAATTGTTTCTGTGTTGCTAATGATTTGTTGGCCCCTTTACCTCCGTGACCCCCTGCTGGGCCATGGTTCACAGGTTGGGAACCACTGTAGTATTTAGTAGTAATGAGGTAACATGTCCCCCCACGCAACACTGTGGCTTATTAATGTGTTGGACAACAATGAAGCTCTGTGGTACAGAAGAATAAGATTTATCAGGCTACTTGTTTAGTGGGATACATTTATTGTTGGCTTGCGTCTGCACATGGAGTTTGTTGACATTAAGAGAAATGTATGGCTTAATACAATTACCAGACGTATCCTTAAAATGAGTCTATGTAATTTTTGCCACCATAATTGTCATCCCAGACAAGTGAGACTGTAGCTTTAAAACTCCTGGGCCTATTGAATTGAGCAGTAGAGTGTTGTAATGCTAATGAATATAACGACGATAATAGATGCTTAAATGTATCGTAACAGCAGCAAGAGTAAAGATGACTTCGTTTATTCAGTTGCACTGCAAAGGTTTTCTAGCATTAGCTAACATTAGCCACCATTAGCTACTCATACCACACCAAGTAAGTGTGTGCCTGTGTGCAGTGAATTTAACAGATGTGGGGGGGTTTTTTATTTATTTATTGCATATTAATTCAACTTTTGGGAGCAGTTATGGATAAACGGTAAATGCTAAAACGTAGCACAACAGTAGCACGGCTACAGATATGTGAGTACCCAAAGGCTACTGGTCACACCAGACCAAGAGAGGTTGCATCAACAATCCTCCTGAGTGTAGTGAACAGATGTTTTTCCCATCCTACTCTTCACCTACATCCTGGCCTCGTACAATGTCTCTCTAAAAATTAAAATCAGAGCATATTTGAGATAAAGAAATAAATAAGAATAAAAAGTTTAACAAAAATGAAATACTGTATAGAGATGCACCAATGAGCTTGCAGTTATAAATACCCTATAAAAAAAAAAGTACACAGACTTCAGATCACAACACTTGAAATCACCTCTCATTAGTAAATTTCTATTACATTACAGTTATTACACGTCGGATTCAGACATGAGCCCGAACTCATCTTATGCAACATCAAAGGTGCTTTTATGGCGGGTGCCAAGAGTACAATGTGTTGCTGCAGCCATTATTCTAAACTGATCTGGTCTTATGTAATGCCACGAGGAGAATGGGATAGAGGATGATCTCCTGTGGCAGGGAGCGGTGCAGACGCATGGACGCACTCCGGCCCCGCATAGCAACAGGGAGGGAAGGAGGCGAGAGAAAACAGGACGAGTGGGAGCTGCGGACCGTGCTTAGTCAACATATGTTCAGCACTTCTGTTGACCATCAATGTTTAGTTATATACAATCCATATAATCCACAGCAGTGTAATCCCAGAGGAATGTAATAAACCAGGTTCGGTGAGCGAGCGGAGTACTTGTAGTGTGACTTAATCCAGTGACTGTTTCTGCCCCCCCCCCCCCCCCCCCCCCCCCCCCCCCCCCCCCAGGACTTCACCATGACCCTATATCTGAGGCACTACTGGAAGGACGAGAGGCTGGCCTTCCCGAGCACCACCAACAAGAGCATGACCTTTGACGGGCGGCTGGTGAAGAAAATCTGGGTGCCTGACGTGTTTTTCGTCCACTCCAAGAGGTCCTTCATCCACGACACCACCACCGACAACATCATGCTGCGGGTCTTCCCAGACGGTCATGTCCTGTACAGCCTGAGGTGAGGACAGGAAATCCCTTCCCACACACACACACACACACACACACACATACACACAGATATCTGCCTCCATAGGGTTTTATCACACCAACCAAATGAGACTTGGCAGGCCCCGGTGTAGCATCTGCAGAGCTGGTGAGATTTACACTCTCGCTTTAATTCCCCAGGGTTACAGTTACCGCTGCATGCAACATGGATTTCAGTCGTTTCCCTTTGGACTCGCAGACATGCACGCTGGAGCTGGAGAGCTGTAAGTATTCACGTGCCTCCGCTCTTCTTGCTCAAAAGACCTCTCAGATATTTTGCTCCTAATTATGAAAGGCCCAAAGCAATTTAGCAGCATGTTGCCTGAACCAGCACCACACTGACAAGAAACACTAAACCGTGATTTATTAGTCGGAGGTTGGTGCAGAACTACGGTGGATGTTATTCCATCAGGATTTCACTTCAGTGGGACCCACGTCTAATGGCACTGGTTGCCGGAAATTGGAAAATAGTTGCTTTATTTAGCTTGACTGTAGAGAGAGTTTAATTAAAAAGCTTTATATTAGACGGGTCTCTCTTTCCAATGTGTCTGTTTTAGAAGTAAATATCATCAGATTATTGTGCCACTGCTTTGATTTACTCATTTTTCACCTGTAAATTCAGTGCAATGTACGTTTCCACAGCACCAACGCCATTAGTACAATAGTCATAATTTAGTTTTTAAAGTAATGTTTCTTTGCCAGCCTTTATTAACAGCTGTCCTTCATTTGTTCAGCTTTTATTTGAGAATCAGATATAGGTTAAATACTGAGCTTGAATTAAGAGTTAAGTCTCTTTAAGCCTCAACAGAGATCCAGCTGCTGTTGTTGCGAATCGTTCAAAAACTTTGGATATTGGTAACTGATACCGATTCTTAACGATACTTTTTTTCTACACCAATTTTGTCAACTCCATTTTAACAAAAAGAAAATTACAATACACATTACGGTACAAATTTTAGATTTTACTTTTAAGCTTGGTGTCTTTGCACGCTCAAACGTGTTGGTGTAAATAAACAGCCAATCACCAGCATTATTAGAGCTTGGTCCAAGCATGCTGCATGCTGATTGGCTCACTGACACTGATGACATTTACTCATTTACTCCTTAGGTATCGAATGACAAAGCATTTTTTCGTATGAAAGACAAAAAAATTACATAAACATAAATAAATAAATAATCAAATGAATGCAGAAATAAATAATTAAATACATAAATAAATGCAAAATACATACAGTTTGGTAATGAAAAATGCTGCTCTGTATTTATTCATTTATGTATTTATTTATTTATTTAGAAATAGCATTTGTCATTATCAAAATGGTTTTGTTTTGCATTTATTTATGTATTTGTTTATTTATTTCTGCACTTTATTTATTTATTTATACTTACGTCATTTTTTGTCCTCCATATTTTCTAGGCTCAAACCAATTCTGTCAGTCCATAAAAGTATTTAAGTTGGGTACTCAGCCCTGTCTCTGATGCTGACACTGGCTCTGCTCTGTGCATAAACTCAAGCTCTCTGTCCATCAGATGCTTACACAGACGAGGACCTGATGCTCTACTGGAAAAGCGGCGATGAGTCTCTGAGCACTGACGACAGGATTTCTCTGTCGCAGTTCCTCATCCAGAAGTTTCACACTACCTCCAGACTGGCTTTCTACAGCAGCACAGGTAGAGCAGCGAAACCAATGCCGAGCGGAGTTTTACATCGATGTTTCCTTGTAAGGCCGGGTCACCCAATGAGCAAAAAAAACTTGTGTCATTAATATAAATTGAAATGAAAACGACCTTAATGTTAATGTTATCTTAATGTTACCTTGAGGTCACATTCTGTCTCAGGGGTCTTGTGTTGAAATCTACTTTTAATATTAAACTTCTAATTATATTAACATTTTTACTATAACCTGCTCTGCACTCTGTCATTAACACGTGCAGGTAATGCTTATTTTTCATGGTGTATCTTTGGATTGTGCATTAATATGTAATTATTAGGGAGTGCAAGTATTACAGAGTTTGGAAATGCTCCAAACTGGGTTAAGCAGTGTTTCCTGTGAAATGTGGAGAAAATAATGAAAGAGTTGCTGACAAGACACACACTGTAAGTTGCACGAGACGACAATGCCCCCACACAACAACTAACTTAACCAACCTGAGCGCTCATTTCCATAAAGACACGACAAAGGAAAAGGACACGCTGACAAAAAAAAAAAAAGAAAAACTGCCACAGGACCAAACAGCACTGCTGAAAATCATTTTCTACCCCTCCTCCGCAAAACCAGTGTGTGAGCTCAAGAAATAGCTGAAGAAATTGGCAACTTCATTGCAGCCAACCTACAGCCATTTTCTGCTGCTGAAAGCCAAGGGAAGTAAAGAGTCGTGAGCCAAAATATACAAAAGTGTTCCATCAGGAAAAACACTTCTGTAGTGTCGTCACACTAACTCTCCCCAGAGAAATGAGACAAGATGTCGACCTCCCGTGCTGCTCAGAGCTATATCACTATAAAAGCCCACGCTTAGCCTTAACTGGGGGTTACAGGTACCTCAGGTCAGCCGCCCTGTTAGGCCAGGTGCAAAGAGCGATAGCCTTCTTCTACAGTTTTGGCCTCTGCACAGACTTTGCTGTGGCTACCAACAACACAGACTCATAATGAATGTTTCAACAAGCTCTTACAATAGTCTGGGCTGATGGATGGAGCAACAGGCAGCTGTTACGGCTGCTTTTATCTGCGCCAAAGTTGACAGTATCGACAGTCGGCTGGGGATTAAATGCTACTGTTGAAAGAATCATTGATTTCCTACATTTATAACACTTCCTGCACTAAAAGCAGCCTTTGCTTGACAGCTTTTTTTATTATTTTTTTTAAGCCAGCTGATTGATCAAGTGTTCAGCCCAGTGGTTCGGTCAGCCCTGCTCCGGATCAGTTTGCAGATACAGTAGTGACTGGAAGACACTGTATATTTGAAAGTGAAGTTTAGACTCTTTGTTTGAGGATTTTTGTCATATTTTTGAGAAGTATTATTTGCACTTTGCTGCTTATATGGTTGTTGTTGTTTTTTTCTATATTAAATCAAACCAGTGCCAGAAAAGGGAAAAAGAGGAATAATATATATAACATATCCTGCAGTCATCCATTGCTGTCATTGAACTTGTAATTGTATCGTAATTAAATCAAATCGTAATATCGAGAAAAAAAGATGTATATATATATAACATATAATAACACAGCATATAATTATTTTTCTCAGAGTTATAATCATAATAGCAACAATAGCAACAGATATATTTCCTGTTCCTGAGGTCTTTAGCACGATTAGTGCAGAGACGTGAGAATCAGTGAGGTGTCTTCACTTTTCTTTTTCTGTGCAAAGACTTGAATTAACAAGTTTTTTCTTTTCTTTTTTGAAATGGTTTGAACTACACTTTAGAAGGATCTTTTTCTTGCTTGTTAGTGGTGCCTCTGCCGCCTGAGTGACAGGTTAATGTTATTGTTCAGGCAGCTGCAAATAGCCTCGACTTTATCTGTGATTTTTTCTTTTTTTTTCTTTTTTTTCCATCTGTGGTGTTGAATCCAAAAATCCTCCACACTCCAAAAATGGTTTGGTGTCACGATTATTTGTTCAACAAAGTTTTTGAGAGTTTTCTCCAAAGAACAACAACATTTTGACATTTTGAGATATCACAGTAGGAAAAGGACGTGTGTACAAAAAAACAACATTTATAATGGCTGAATATCATTTAGCTGCTTCAGTTTCAGGATCCTGGTGTTGTATTATTGTGTAAAATTTTCAACCCTGTGATAGTCACCTGAAATAGCACCCCTACGGTTGTCATGGTTACAATAATAAACCTGCGGACTGTACCGACAGTGGCGTACCTACTTTCGTCGCCATGGTTATTATAATAATTGCGTGCAGGGATGACACGATGGAGGAACCCGGTGGCTGAGAAGCAGCGTAAGGCTGAATGATTGAGTTGAAGCAGATGGGTGCTGACCCGGAAGTCCGCTCTGAAGTCGAGCATTACTGACTTGAATTTGATTTGGGTTGTAGGTCGACGAGTGGCGGAGTGACATGTGACCTTTTGGGTTGATCGTAGACGAGATAGGCTGCTGCATTCTGGACCATCTGTGAGGGTTTCACTGCGTGTGAGAAGAAGAACATCTCAGTGGACTTTTTCCTTTAAATGTTTAAATGTATAATTACATTTGAATTCAGCAGAAACTTGTCTTTCCAAAAAACAATGTCCTGGTTACTCGGCGCTATCTGCAGAGCTCACTGACAACACTTATCAAAGATAGAAAATGGCGCTAATAAAGGTAGGAAACATTAAAGCTGTTCTAGTCAACCAATGAGAAAAAAAACAGTCTTCCTCTGGGAAATGTTTGAAACTCAGGAACTGGAACATCGCTGTTTAAAAACACTCCACTGGGCTGTTTTAATATATTCACATTCACATTGTTATTCAGCCATTTTCTACCTTTTAGTGCTTTAGTGTCACAGATATTTGTATGCAATGACCTCTTTTCTGTTCAGCCGCTGTTTTGTTTGTTCATCGGTTTGTTTGGTCTGGTTTTATATGCCCTCCAGATTTCTATCATCCCTTTGCAGATTAGTTGTTAATTTCATTTAGTCCTGTGTTTTTCATGGGCACTTCATTACATCATTATGTTTCCCTTTGTCCTTGTCTCTAGGCTGGTACAACCGTCTGTACATCAACTTCACTCTGCGGCGTCACATCTTCTTTTTCTTGCTCCAAACCTACTTCCCCGCCACTCTGATGGTCATGTTGTCCTGGGTGTCTTTCTGGATTGACCGCAGGGCCGTCCCTGCCAGAGTCTCATTAGGTAAGAGGACATATGTGCATGTGTTGAATTTCCATTTATGTATATATATATATGTACATATGAGGAAAAATCATATATGCATTAAAAGTATAGCCTATATCTGTAAAAAATTACATATGAAACCTGTTAGAAAGTGGAACAATATCATATATTGCCATGTTTTATTTAGAAAATGCCAGGACTGTGTTGTGGTCTGAACAAGCAAGTTGTGAATGCAACATGGATAATGAATTACAAGCGTTACTGACCTTGTTGTCTTTTCATTTCCGTAATTTCTGCCTTCTTCCTCGTTCGTAATATTTTCTGCAACTAACCAACTCCAGAGTAGACAGACTGTGAAAAGACCTTCATCCCAGACCTACAGAATATTTCCCCAAAAACCTTTTTTTTACCGCCATGTTAACACAAGGTTGTATTTTCTCTGTGCTTCAGGTATAACCACGGTGCTCACCATGTCCACCATCATCACTGGAGTCAATGCCTCCATGCCCAGAGTCTCCTACATCAAAGCTGTGGATATTTACCTCTGGGTCAGTTTCGTCTTTGTGTTCCTGTCTGTGCTTGAATATGCTGCCGTCAACTACCTGACGACAGTGAGGGACGGTAAAGAACGGAAGCTCAGAGAAAAAGTCAGGGAACAGGTACGGAGACCTTTCCAGAAATTGCATATATTTCCAAATGATGCTTGCAACTTTTTATTCAGTCTTGACTCCTTTCCTCTTTTTTTTTTTTTTTCTTTGCCCAGTCCCAGACTCTTCCCTGCACCTGTGGCATGTCGCATGCCAGGACCATGATGCTGGATGGGACATACAGCGAGGCAGATGCCAACAGCTTGGCAGGGTACACCAGAGCCTCCATGATGGCTGAGGATGCGTCCGAAAAACAGGAGCGAATGGTGGTGCATCTCTCCCTGGACAACGAGTCCACGGGGACCAAGAAAAAGGGCATTCGCGGCTTCCGGATTATCCAGAACACCCACGCCATTGACACCTACTCTCGCATGATCTTCCCTGGTGCCTACATCCTGTTTAACCTGATCTACTGGTGTGTGTACTGCTGAGTGTGTGCGTACTGTTTGAGCCTAAACTGTAGCAGTGAAAGAAAAAAACTGCGACCTTGGAGAAGAGGTAGTTGTTCCCATACTGCATGTTCACGTGGAGCAACGAGTTTGGCAAGAGGGCTGAAAAAATATCACTGGCTCCTGGGTGTGAATTTCAACAACGCTGGCTCACACGTCACCATCGGACTGGACCACATACACAGCTTCTTCTCCTTTACATAACTGCATCAGAAGCTCATATGTTCCCCAATCATATTCCAACAACCGGGTGGGGCTGGTTGCACAAGTAGACTAGTCTAATGCCAGTTGTATAAAAATAAAAAACAGACTCATTTTAAGCCTAAAATGTTAGCCACCATACCCGAAGGCTAATAACATAACAATGATATCACCACGGATTTGCATTCATTTGGTTTCTGGCAACACAACTTTTGTTGTGTCTGATTTTTCACTCTCATTCTTCTCTGTTTTGTTCCCCACCAACTCCCAAAGAAATATAATTGGCTCTCTGCTGTAACCAAGGTTGATGAGAGTAGAGCTCACTAATCGGACGATTGGCCCGAATCTGGACCCAGACACCATCCTCTCTGGACCCGGACCCATAACCTATGAATTATTGAGAATTATTAGACTTTGATAGAGGCACGGCCTTTATGGCACTGGTCACTTCACTCAGCCAATCATTGCGACTCGAGTCAGTGAATGAGACGCAGGCGGTGAGAGACGACATCGGAGAAATATAAGTGGGGAAAGTGGTATTTAACAGGGAAAGAAAGAGAAAGGGACGGGTCAAAGCTGTTCTGTCGTTAGGTTGTGTTGAGATTGTGTATTATAAAAATGGTTGACACTGTTAAGATGTGGAATGGGCTTAACAAAAAAGAAAAAAAAGGGATACTGAAGCTACACTTTTTATTTCATATTTCTAAAATTAACCACTTTAATTAAGATGTACCTTTTTCAAAAGCTCTGTTTGGACTTATTACAGCCCTTACGCAACTTGAAATGAGAAAGGAACATATAGTTATTATTACATAAGGTAAAAGAAAAGTTTGAAGTTCTTATTCCACTACCCCCAACCCACTCCCCCGACCAATGTTCCTTTGCTTGAGGATATGCTGTCTAACTGGACGTCTTTGAATTTTAATTTAATACCCCTGGAGAAGAGTTTGAGCTGAAGTGAGAGGCTAAAATGTTGTGAAGATGGGTTGTCACCATAGCAACCTATTTTACATCGCACATAGTCATATGATCCATAGTTCATATAGAAAAAGAACTTATATTTACATTTACATTTACTCATCTGGCAGACGCTTTTTATCCAAGTAAGGGACATCACTAAAGCTTCGGGGCAGAAGGAGACCTACATTTATTTGATAAGTGAAGGAGAGTGTCTTCATGTCTGTCAGAAGCTGGACTGTTAGATCTGAGCTACAGTCAAAGTCTGTCTCTGTGCAACCAGCCCCCGCCAAATGATACTCTCTACTCTCTGAAGCTCTCTATTTTCAATCAAACTGACAAAATAATAAGAGCATATAATTTGGCTGCTATTGCCTCTGTAACCTTTGGAACTGACTGAGTCATATAACTGAATGTGTCCAGAACAGATGGCTAATGAGGCAGTAAAGGAGCTAAATACCAGGCTTTCTTCCCTTAACAGCCCTCCGACTACAGCGGCAATATTTCACTTCAAGTGGCAGTCCTTCCCTGTATTCCTCAATGGCTACTGTTGACATTCACCAGATTAAAGCAGCCCATAAAGCCAGGACTAAACAGGATGCTACTACTCTGTGGGTTTTAAAGCACCATATATCACTGTTTCTGAGGAAAGTGTTTATTTATTTATGTATCTGCAGGATTCTCTATTCACTGAATTTATTTTATTTAGTATTTATTTATTTATTTTTAGTGCAGCAATACGATCCATGTGCCATGACACCTTAAGTTGGCAAAGATGCACGAAACAGGGCTTGTACAAAACTGCTTGATGCATGCTGCAAGACGTGCAATACTGTATCTTTCTAGTTGTATATTTCTTAGAAAGGACTTTAAAACATGGAAAGCTTTACCAGTGATGTAACCAACTTGAACCGCCTTAAGTGAACATTTTTTTATACACCAACATGGTTTAATAGCTGTATTTTTTTTTTTCATTTGTTTGTTTGAGCACCATGAGTGACTGCATAGTTTTATTGAGGTTTTCTAAGCAGTATATACAGTTTAGCATTTTATTTAATTATGTGCGTAAATAGTAAGCTAAGCTAGAGGCTTTAGGCTAGCTACACTGTGATGTGTGTGATTTCACCCGTCACAAGCGCTACAGTTTCATTCCTCAAAACTGGTTTACATGTCAATATTTCAAAAGCAGATTCTGGAAAATTATTTCAAAATATCCCATTTTTAAAATTAGCTTATTCACCTTCTTGCTAACGAGTAAAGCCCACTTATGTTTATGCTGCGCTGAGGGATATGCTGTAGCCTACAACCACTACGTGTGTAGCCTCTGGGAATCCCATTAGCTCCTTGCACCAAGTATGTATCCAGCTTTTGATGAATTTCATGTCTATTCATATTAGAATACAGCGCTAGACCGGGAGGCGATTAGCTTAGCTAAGCACAAGACAGGAAGCAGGGGAAACAGCACCAACCACACCTCTGAAGCTAACTAAATAACTCACTAATTAACAAATTGTGGCTTGTTTCTTTAGTCAGTACTCAGTCAGAAATGTGAGAAAGAAACTTTGGGAGAGAGACTGTCATTGCGTTCATGAGCTCTTTCTCGTTTTACTGTATCTAGTGAGGAGGGAGTGACGTATTGGTCCTGCTGACGTAAATTTCAGTCAGCCATTAAACAGCAGTAGTGGTTGCTCAGTGAAGTTAATTTTCTTTACATTGATCAAAAAAGTCAGTTTAAGAGATGTTGTTTCTGTTTATGAACTCACAAAAACCTGTACAGGTGCATCCATCTCATCCATGCTTATTTTTCTATTGCTGTTGCTAAACTGTGTAGCTTCTCATGTAGCTTCCCACCTAGCCAACCATAGCTGGCAGCTAGCTAGCTAGGTGGGTTTCCTATCCTTATTCAGCGTATGATTCAGCGCATGATTCAGCGTAAGATTTGATTGGTCAAATGTTTCTCCAACCTGGGGAGGCAGTCATCAGTTCGCACAATCCCAGATCTTTGACTCAGCGAGCTAGGCTAGCTGTGTCACCCTGCTTCCAGTCTTAGCGCTAAGCTAGGCTAGCTGCCTCTTGGCTCAAGCCCCATACGTCCATACTGTACAGATATGAGAATGGCAAAAAAGTACATTTCGCAAAATGTAAAACTGTACCTGGTGCTCCGTTAAAGCCAAGGTCTCATCCTGATTCATGATGTACTCAGCAACCATTATTGCAATTTACCTTGATGGCTAAATGTGATTTTTTAAATTTGTGTTTTTCTCTTCTTTTTTTTTTTTTTTGGAATGGATCTCTAATAACAGTGAGTCAGATGATCTCTCAGTGCAAAAACATAAAACAAGAAGCACATTTGCAGATCTCTCATCTTCCAAACCGACATCTCTTCTACCTTCATCTTCAGAAAATGTTCAGAATGTAATGCTTTCGGGGCAAATTTCATAAATAAAGTCTTTCTTTCACGCATTTAAATGAGTCCTGATTTACTTGCTTTGAAGATTTAACATATCGGAACACCATGTCTACAGAATGCGAGGACTTGCCACAATGTCATAAAGCTCCTTCCACTCTGTATTGTCATGAGAACGATGGCTAAGAAGCAACTTTACTGAAAACAGTCACAACTTCCAAGAATAATCTATCAGACACAATCTTCCCCTTGTGACGCACATCCATCTTTAATCCAGATTTTAGAGATGACTCTGGGCACATCTAATCCCCCAAATAAACAAATCATGTCAGATTTACCTATGCCATCACTACTTAAAAACTCAGTGCTGCAGTAAGGCAACTGATCCCACACTATCATCTGTGTTGTTTATTAATGCATCTGCTGCTTTAAGGTAATACACTGACTCATACTCTTAATATGTCTGGCTGTGGTTTATACCCACTGGCAGATCCTTGAGGACTTTGTCCTAAAAGGGAGTCAGCACTGTGGCTCGTAATATGTTGTGTCTGGGATGAATTAATAAACATTCACACAAATTTCTCTGAAAAGCCAAAAAGGAAATGCGATATAAATAGTTTTACAAATCCCTGTGTGTGTAAAGCCAGTGCCTCTGGTTAGTGTGGTCGGCTTTGAACAGGAAGGAAAAGGATCTGATTTGAACTGAGCATGACCCAGATCTGGGGTTTTTGGTATGTTTTTTATTAAAATTTCGCATTTTAAATCATTGCTCAGTAGACATTAATAACAACCCTTATTTGATGCCCTGATCTAGGCTGTCATCGGCACGGGAGCTCAATCTGAATGTTAAGTCCTGTTAGGGAAAAAGATGATGACCAGTGACGTCTTCATGGCTTACATCATCGTTGCTGTGTGCTTATGCTAAACTAAGCCAACATGTCCCGACTCCAGCCCTGTACATTAACACACAAACATGAGGATGATATCAATCCGCACATCTCACAAAGTGCTGACCTATTCCTTTTAGCAGCAATCAATCTGCAAACACAAAGTTGTAAGTCCGAAGAGGACAGGGGAGGAAGTTTGGTGAGGACATTCCCACAGCCAGTTTTTATTGTCAGATCTGTTTGTCAGTCTTTTAGACAAAACAAAAAAAGCTAATGGAGTACACTGGGAAGTAGCCTGATGTAAATCAAGAGAATGACACTTCAGTTATGGGCCAAATCCAATACTCTGCTCTCAGCTGGAGTTTGCATGTGAGGGATACAAACTGCCAGAACTGAGAATCAGCAGCTTTGAAGACTGTGAGCATATCGAGCCCTACTGCTGCTCAAATCTAGTGAGACAATTCCTCCTGTGGCCCCACAACTTTGATTATGTTCATGATGTCCTCACTTGCACCGAAGACTTGTTCTGC